AAGGATTTTTTTAGAATTTTTGAAAAAAATTCTTAAGTCTTTGAGGTGGCTGGAGGGGTAGTTCCGGAGGTGTTAGCTGCCTGATGATTTTTTATATCTTGTGGGAGGGTACTAGAAGTACTGTAAAAAATCGGCAGCTTCCAAGGACCCTTGGAAGGATTTTTTTAGAATTTTTGAAAAAAACTCTTAAGTCTTCGGGGTGGCTGTAAGGGTAGTTTCAGTTTTTAGAGGAGTCGATATATCATTTTTAGGGATATTTGTTTTTATTTTGAGCCGAAAAACCATTTTCAGTTTCAAAAGCAAAAAAATTTTTTTTTTATTTTCGTTCATAAAAAAATGATCGGAACTTCAGGTACATAAACTCTCTTACCTGAAGATAAGATTCTATACAGAATACTATTTTTCATAAAAATTTTCAAATCAATCGTAATAAATGGATTCAAGAAAATAAAATTGAAGTTTATTACTTAGATAAACCTTTAGAATATTTATAATCTTCCGCAATATATCTATGACCTTTTGTAGGAATGTTATCCAAAGGTAAATCAATGAAAGTTAATTTTTGCATAATCTTAAAATTTTAAAGAATTACTATTTTTCCAAAAACTTTAACCGGTCGATTTATCTAAGCAAATTTTCCCACGTGATTTAAACCTCTGTAATATAAATACAATAAATAAATACTCATTGCTATCATCAGGGATAATCTCACGAAAAAATATATATTAAAGATATTAACCGGTCACATTAAAATTGCTAATCAATTCAAATAATAAAGAAGTAATATTTAAATTTATATTCATCAATGACATTTACAATATATTGATAAGAAGTTTAAGTAATAGATTACCATTAATATAATTTTTTATTTTTGCAGCACTACCTGTTTGCGAAATTTTTTTCTGTTATCTTTCTTGTTTGTTTTTTTTTTCTTTTTATTATATCATCGGACAAGAAAAAATTCACCTCCAGATGGCAGTTGTTGTTTTTGGAATTCGGAGAGTATACCTATTTATATTCGGAGAGGATCGAAAGGACCTAGAACACATGAAAGGAGTAGGATGGGGATGAGGATGCCCTTCCACTCTCCCATAATTCAATTCGTCAGTGTCAGTGCACTGTGCAACGGAACAGAATGTATACGAAAATACAGGTATAAGAGAGTAAGTACATGAAATGTACATATATACAGTACAGTAACGGCAACGATCACACTGGGTCACCATTATTTCAGATTATTTCAACCGGCGCACATCACTGATTCGCTCGTGATTCTTTATTGTACATAGTGTATTATTTTTATTTGTGTCAATATTTTAAAGTGATATATATACATAAAATATGAGGATAATTTTGTGAGTTATTTTTAAAATTTAACTTGTTGCAGATAATTAGTAGCTTATATATTTATAAAATGATAATGATCTACAACAAGCAGTACTCTTTATACAAGTGCAGTGGAAAATGATTGAAAGCATTCAAGTGTATCTAATATTCCTACGAAGATTATATTACGAGATATAAGGATACACATACATATAAGAATACTCATACACCGAGTGTTATTTGATATTAAGTATCATTTTCATGTTATAAAATAATTAATCTCAAAAAAAAAACTAATTTTTTATTATTTGACGATGATTACGTGTGTGATAATTGTGAAAAGATTTTATTTTTTGACCTATTCACTATTTTTCCCGGCTGAATAGAAGGCGCGAACAGCGCACGAGTAGTGTCACAACAAGTCAATAAATACAAAACAAATATAAAAAGGAATTATTTAAAAAATTCAATAAGAAAAAGTTATTTATAGATGTCTGTAACCAGTAATCTTATTTTTTTGCAAATTTTAATATCTCGATAATAATAATAATAACAATAATAATAATAATAATAATAATAATAATATATGTATTTATATAAAAAGTGTGCGATAAGAGTGTCATGATAATGTAAATAATTTATTTATAAATTGTAAAATTAAATTGTGTTACTACGGGTATTGATAGAATTTTGTAAAATATTATTTTATACTAGTGTTCTACAAAGGTGCTAAAAAAAAATGAATGGAATTGAGTGAAAAAGTAGAAGATCCTGTGAGAAATTGATTTAATAATAGCACCGAAAAATTCTCACGGTAATTAACGATGACAGATCTATTGATTGGAATTGCAAATGCAACACCCAACGGGGGTGTTGTTTTTCGAAATAAAAATCCAGGAATTTGTCGTAATTCAGAAATGCGACATTCAAGAAGCGAAGATATTTTAGGAGTTGCTGGGCCAGGTGCTCCAACTCGAACTCCAAGTCCTTATTTCCACGAACAATCTTGTGCTTCAGAAGATGATTTAGTTGCATCTAGTGCGTTAAGAGATGCTTCTTCATCGTCTGACCTGCTTCAAGATGCCATGTATTCTTATGGAAGAAGATCTGCTGCATCACCACCACCAACATTTGGTGCGGATCGAGTTGATCCTGAAGATTCTATCCGAGATATTGTTACAGAAAATGACTTGTACAGGTGAGCATTTAATTATTTCATCATGATTATGACTAAGTTTTTTTTTTTAAACATTGAAGTAACTTCTATAAATAATCTTTATTTTTATCCTTGAACGTCATAGTATTATTTTGCATTTTAGATTTGTACTTTTCAAGAGACACTATGATAAATATATTGCGTTGGCTGAAAAATATGAAGAATCCCGAGGAGTTGTTTATTATCTTGAAGAACGCTACCACGAAGTTAAGGTATGAAAGTAATTTCATTTACTCTAAACGCATCATATATTAAGTAAAAACTAAATTCTTGGGTATGGATTAAGCTATGGTATTAAATAGTCTTTGACCTTTCAAAGTAACAAAATGTATAATCTATAATAATTTAAGTTTAAACCTCTCTATACCTGAGGTATTTACATCGTACCTATACCTAATTGTAGGTATATAGCTACAGAATAGTCTGAAATGTGAATCGCTTTCTTCCTGCTATTTGTGAACGTATTTTATACATTTACCCACACATTTATAATGGCCGGAACAATATATTACTTTGCCCTGGCGTGACTGACTTCCTCTCCCTCTCTACAATTTCTTCACATCCACAAATATATACATTTTTATTTATTTATAGTGCAGTTATATTAAATTTAACACTGTGATAATTGTCATGCTATTATCCGGCGCTAATGACTATGTACTATGAGATACTTATAATTATTAATTGACTAAGATATACATATATAATTAAGTATATATATTTATGTATAAAAGAGAATTATTATAAGAGACTCAGGTAGAAGGAAACTACGGCTTTCGTATTTGCCGTTCACCGGACCGTGAGAGCGGGTGACCTCACCACTAACAACAGCGAATCCGAGTACTTGTTGGGGCCGTGCCGTTAAAACAGTACTACATATACCAGGTCTCTCAATACTTAAACTTTAATGTCGCCCACGACTATATTATGTATCGTTATTAATTTATTTTCCGTCTAGGAAGAGAACTCGGAAAATTATAATTGACTCTCGTTAATTCTCTTTTATTTGATAAATTATTATCTCGTCTGGGTAGAACCTTAGGATAACTTGTATTGAATGAGTTGAGCTTATGCGTGAGAATATGGTTTACAACCCACTCCCTAAAACACGTTGCGGTTCGTTGAAGTTCTTTCAGGAAGTCTTGGGCATAAAAAAAATTGAAAAAAAAAATATTCAACCTCTAATATAATTTCTCTAATAATTTATTATAGAAAGTTTAATATGTATTATTATTTTATGCACATACTGAACACACTTATATTTTTAATTTCATTTAATACTTTACTATTTAATTAATAATTATTTTTTTTTCATCATCTTTATTAGGCTGAAAAAGATAGATTGGAAGAAGCATGTCAAGAATTAGAAAAACGATTGGAAAACCACGAGTCACAGATGCGAGAAAAAGAAGAAGAATTATTCTTACATTTGGAACGAAGTTTACGATTAGATGATGAGATTGAAAGACTCAAGGCTGAACGTGCTTCTTGTATTGCGGCGCGGGAACGCTTAGAACGTGAACAAACTGCTGCATTAAGGCAGTTACAGTTGGAAGTAACGCAGAACGAAGCAACGAGAAGAAACCTCGAACAAGCGAGGCAAGACATCGTCAGACAAGCAACAGTCATTCGGGCTGAACGGGATGCTTTAGAACGAGAGGTAAGAATCGTTTATAACTTTCATCTGTCTCTCTTGTTCCTCAACTTGAAGAAAGAATTGTCATGAATTTATGTGAAATGTTTGAAAGTTTAGAATGTTAGTAGAACAAAAAGTTTAAAATATACTTTCTTATTGTAGATATCATGAATTAGTCTGTTAATATACGTATAATAATGTTATTAAATTTAATAATAATAATTTTTTCAGAATATCGTGTTAAAAGAAAAATTACGTGTAGAGCAAGTGGAATTGGGTGAAGAAAGACGTAAAAGAGAAGAAGGAATTGCTATTTTAACTCAGGAAGCAGTGACACTTAGACACGCTGCTAGACATTTAAGAGCCGCTGCTTTGCATGCTACAGCTTGCAAACGAAGAAGAAGATGCTCCGTATGTCTTTATGCCAAGCGTACCTTTTCTGAAGCTGATGATTATCGTAATGAGTAAGTTACTTGAAAAATTTATAAAAAAATAATTTAATATTTTTAAATTTTTTAATATAGTAAATTTATTATTTATTACAGTAAAAAATTGTTCAAGTGTCTTCAAACGCCTCTTCAAGATTTGAGAACATGGTTTCGTCCGGGTCAATTGTCATCGTCATCATCATCCCATCCTACTGAGCTGAGGACTAGTTCACGGGCTATCAGCTACATAGATTCATCCAGCAGCTCTGAGGATGAGGAGTTTGGTGACACACCTCTAGCTGAGATTTCACTGTCTTCCACCAACTCAGGTGTACCACCAGCTTCTCGGGCATTCTCCTCAGACTCTGGGTATGTTATCAATGCAGTGACCCCACCTGTAAAATCATTAATCACCCCGACGAGCACGCCAATAGAAGGTGATTTTTCTTCGTGCAGTTTTTCATCAGAAATTGGCGACCGCAGATCACGCAGATCATATGAAGTTGATGGAGCCAGCCGTAAAATCAGTGAATCATCCACCAGTGAACCTGATGCATTGATGGGTCAAAGGCCTGCTACTACTTTCACTCGCTCCAAATGGACTTCATCATTCCGTAAACTTCTTGGACGCAAATCCAAAGCTAAGATGATCAAGGACCACTCAACACCATAAATTAATTAATCAAGAAAGGAATATGGTTAATTTATATATTTTTATTATATATATATATATATATTTTTTTTTTTCATTCTCATTTAATTATAACCTTCGTGTAAGACATTTTACTAGTAATCCTATAGACTTAATTAATAATTCTTATAAAAATCCCACCTATTATTTCAAGGTCTTTGAGCTCAAGTTTTACTGCCAAAGCGTGGGACTTTTTAAACTATGAGATCGTTGAAAAACGAAAAGATAATAAGAAAATTTAAATTATTAAATGGTTTTAGCTTATTTCATTATTTTCCCGCGAACTTTTACTAGTAATATATGATATTACATTTGTTGAATAATTATCGAAATTCAGTATTTCGAAATATTTAAAGACTGTTTATTATAGCTAGAGTAATAATTGTACTTAACACAAATTTGATATCGTTCAAACTTTACAATATTATATATTTAGAGATATTAAAAATTACATATTATCACAGTAGAACAATTAAATAGCTGCGTGCTAAATGTGCTGGTTGTAGATACAGTGCTTTATTAATTTGAATTTCAAGATCAATCTATTTTTTAGTTTAATTTTTATAAATTTGTAAGTTAATTTGCAGTTTCTTGAACGGAATAAAACCATTTTTTATTAAATTTCTACGTAAAAAAATAATTAATTAATTTTTCAATTGTATATCTATGAACAATTAGAAAATGTGCCGCTAACAATTTATATTTATTTATAATTGTAAAAAAAATCAATTTCAAACAAATCAATTTAAGAAAAATAAGTCATTTATTCCGCATTACAGGGTGCCAAAAAGTAATTAGCACAAATAATAATAATAATAATAATAATAATAATAATAATAATAATGATGATAACATTAATAACAATTAACTATTTTTAGCAATATTTAAACTAATATAAATAGTTCACAAACATCCGTCAAAGCATTTGGAATTGTCATATAAAATTTAGTCGAACATTATACTCATCTCTGTCATCCTCAATCATATAAGAGGATTATCCCAGAGCGATTTTTTTTAAAGTATATTGACACTCATTTTTTTTTTTATTTAGTTATTATATCAAAAGGAAATTGATGAGTCGATATCATTTTAATGAAATATAATTATTATTATTAATAATGTTGTATTACTATAATAAAATTATTAAGTGTTATTATCAAAAACTGTTATTATAAGAATAATTAAAGTAATAAAAACAAAACAGTCACCTGTTTCTGACATTTAACAAAATAATATAACATAAATTAAAATTTTACTTATTTCATTTATATATTTAAGAATACCTATTCTTATTTGTGTCTCTACCTGTCATACTTTTAAAAATATATTTTTTTTAGTAGTAATTCCCATAGCAGCAATAGATGGCAGCAAAAGTTCTGTTAGAAGGTGAAATTCAATGGCGCTGGCATCTGGAATCCTGATTCTAAATTCTATGTACATTCTACTCATATCAATTCTACTATTAATATATCCCCAGCAGAGCAAGTAAAGTTACCCACTTGCTCTTATTCTTTTGGATTATACTTATTAGTATTTAATTTCACAACTTCTGGAATAGTTTACATCAACAAGAGTTCTTAATTCACACAAATATAGTACAAGTTGAAGTTAGCTAGTCGTTGCGGTCAACTTCATTTACTCATAATTTTTTTTTTTTTACTTTTGAGTAGCATCTCTTGGATAAAGCTCTCCCCACAGCCGCAATATATAGTGGATGAGTGGTGAGTCTGCTGTCTCTTGCTTTTTATTTCACGCAATTCTTACACACACAAAAAAAATAAATATACACATATACACCTGAATAAGAATATATCAAATCTTAATCTCTTTCTCTTGCTCTGTCTCGTAATCAATGAGACAATCAGAACAGTGAGTGTTGTATTGCTTGTTCTCCAAGTTAAACCATATCATCATGTGAATCATTACTGCCTCTTTGTGTATGAGCATGTTGTAAATAGAAAGCCAAGTACAGATTGACTATCGTGAGTGTATATCACGCGTGTGAATTCGCGGATGCCTCGCCCGAAGGATTAATCCAACTTGAAATGTGAGTGTAATAATCCATTTAATATAAATTTTATTTTTCCAAATACGTAACAGATAAGACTACTATTTTTTAATTAAATAATAATCATGTTTATGTGTTTTGACAGTTTCTAAAATAAATTTCAATGGTATAGTTTATTTTATTATTTAATTTTTAGGTATTGGTTTAAAAAAACTTTTAAAATAAAAATATACTTTCCCACTGGAGAAGAGTAATATCATCATTACGTACGACTGCTATTTTATTTGATACAGTTTACGTTACGCTTGTCAATTTATATCAAGTCCCGGTTGAATTCTTTGAGGTGACAGTCTAGTCATAATTTAGACACGATTGTAATGACAATGAACGTAGAGAATTTAGAGAACATGTTAAGATGTTGAGGTTCATTAAGAGTCTAATGTCGTTGTATCCAGACAATCGCTCGCTGTCTACTTCGATCGAATTAATAACTACCTTATATTATTTTTTTTTTTTCCATCATCATCTTTCCTACTTTATCTTTGCTACATACCACACTTAAACGAGGCCGTCGGTCAACAAACTTATTGCAATAAACTCACACATCACCATGGTAATCCTGAATAAAAATAGAAAAACGTAATTTTTTTTTATTCTACTTTCAATATTATCATTTTTTTTAATATTTTATTTTTGTTTTTTCTTTCTATGTCGCAGATGATTGCATGTTGACGTACAAATACCGTTTGCGTGTATTATTTCGTTATGATCTAACTACCGCAATAAAACGCTCAGTTATTTTTTCTTTAGAAAAAAAAAAAAAATTCTTTGTTGCAATTATTATTTGCGTAGTGTTGTATATAACCATTATATTTTTGTAAAAGAATTAATCATTCTAATGTGAGTGTGATATTGGTGATAAAATGTTAACTTAGATTATTCGTATTTTTATATCAGACGTCTTATATATTTAACATTAAACATAAACTTGACAAGATCCCAATGAATCACCCACTTTAAGTATAATTATAAACATATACATATACACAAACCTACTCAAAGCAATCGCAATTCTATACATGTGTTGATTGAATGATCGGATTTATATAGTTGCAGGTTTTTCATATCACTTGGAACGTGACCAGTTGGGTTGATCGGCGTCAGCCCATTCGATATTCCATATTTGTCAGTGGTTCAGTGAGTCATGATAGTTAATATACACAAACAATTATAAGAAGAAAAATATTGGAGATAGAAAAGCGAAGGTTGACTATCAATGTTGTTAAATAACTTTATCCTTTTATCATCGTCATCATCTTGAGAATTTGCGTAACTAAAAATTAATTGCATCGCAAATAGATTGAAGATAAGTTTGCATAGAAGCCTTTCAAGAAGTTTTGTCCCTCGTGGTCTCTGGTGACGTCTTAATTCTTGTACCGAGAAGCACATTGTGGGGTCAATGGAGCCAATCAGTCGAATGATAGTTCCGCGTTGCCAAGCCAATTAATGTCATACAGATTCTATTTTCCACATTATTGGATTCTTTAAATATTTAATTTACTTTTAATAATATTTTTTTATTATTTTATTTCTTCTGACATATACTATTGAGATTGAGTTTTAATTTATGTCTACGTTATAATTTGGGTTGAGAGATTGCTGCATCTCGGTCGCCCACTTGGACTTTTGTATTTATAGAACAGCACGTTTCTGTCAATGTATTCCTGCGTTTATCTTTGTACTCTAAAAGATGACTCCAATGGCTACTTTCCAACATTTAAACTTCTCAACTAACACAGATTTATTTTCTTTTCTTTCGTTTTAATTTTTTTTTTTTATATATTTATTTTTTTTTTTTTTTTAACGCAATTGTATAAGTATTCATCGAATTATTTATCCGTTGACAATTATAGATATTATATAAATAATATTAGATAAAAATACAAAGATGTTGAGATTTTATACTTAAGATGAAATTAAAAATAGTGAAAATAAAATCTTGATTCATTGCACACGTTTACGTGCTTTCAAGACTGTTAGGCAGTTCGTAAGACTGATCTACTAAATAACTGGGGCGCGTATTAAACTAAAGTAACATGAAATGATGATATTTGTCTTTTTCATTTTAAAGAATAAACCTAAGTGGAGTTATTATATTGATTTAAATATACAGTGATATTTTACAGGAAAGACTTACGTTGAAAAATTAAATCAAGTGGCCAGGCTGCCGATCGTCTAAAGGACAATATAAGAGATCAAAATGATGCAGGATCACGGTCATCACTCAAGCAGAAAGACACTGGTAGCCTCGCCAGAAGTCGCAATGGCTAGCGAGGTCTTTGATCTCTTCTGTAACGCCGCAACATTAAAATCCATCCTTGGACATTTTCGCCATCTTTGTGATCTTCTTAATATGCGGCCTAATACCTTTCCACAATTTTATCCTAAGTTTAAATCTAAATTGAGATCATGGAAGGCTCAAGCGTTATGGAAAAAATTCGATCAACGAGCTAATCACAAGTGCTATAATAGAGGAAAAGCTTGTCCTAATTCTAGAGTAAGTGCATAACTTTATATATATATATATATATATTTTTTTTTTTTATATTACAGAAATATTAATATTTATTTATTTATTTTTTTTCAATAGGTTCTAATTATTGGTGGTGGTCCATGTGGCCTAAGAGCAGCAATAGAAGCCCAATTATTAGGAGCTAAAGTTGTAGTAGTAGAAAAAAGAGATCGTATGTCTCGAAACAATGTTCTTCATCTTTGGCCTTTTGTAATTCAAGATTTACGTGCACTAGGAGCTAAAAAATTTTTTGGTAAATTTTGTGCTGGATCAATAGACCATATAAGTATACGTCAATTACAATGCATCCTTTTGAAAGTATCTTTAATTTTGGGCGTTGAATTTCACGAAGGAGTAAGTTTTGATGCTTTAATCCCACCACCTGAAAGTCAAGATGAAGGGAAAATAGGCTGGAGAGCTAAAACTACTCCTAGTGATCATCCAGTATCTCAGTATGAATTTGATGTGCTTATTGGTGCTGATGGAAAGAGAAATACATTAGAAGGTTTTAGAAGAAAAGAATTTCGTGGGAAACTCGCGATAGCAATTACTGCTAATTTTATCAATAAACGAACTGAAGCAGAGGCACGTGTTGAAGAAATAAGTGGTGTTGCTTTTATTTTTAATCAAAAATTTTTTAAGGAATTGTATCAAGAAACAGGAATTGATCTTGAGAATATTGTTTATTATAAAGATGATACACATTATTTTGTTATGACTGCAAAAAAACACAGTCTTATTGATAAAGGAGTTATTCTTCAAGATCATGCAGATACTGCAAAATTATTAGCTAAAGAAAATGTAGACCGGGATGCATTAATGCTTTATGCTCGTGAAGCAGCTGATTTTTCAACTCAGTATCAAATGATGGATATGGAGTTTGCTGTCAATCATTACGGACAACCAGATGTGGCAATGTTTGATTTTACCTCAATGTATGCGGCTGAAAATGCTAGTCGAGTTCTGGAAAGACACGGGCACAGATTATTAATGACGTTAGTGGGTGATAGTTTATTAGAGCCTTTTTGGCCAACAGGTTCAGGTTGTGCAAGAGGTTTTTTAAGTTCTATGGATGCTGGTTGGGCTATCAAAGGATGGGGTGCATCTTCGTCTCCATTAGAAGTCCTTGCAGAACGTGAATCAATTTATAGACTGCTTGGCCAAACAACTCCCGAAAATCTTAATCGTGATTATGCAGCTTACACATTAGATCCGCACACCAGATATCCTAATCTCAACGTCAGGTCTGTTTCAACTATTCAAGTACGAGGACTTCTTGATACTGATGATCCAGACAATATTAAACCACTACCCGTCCTATCTTCTGTTGATGTGCCGAAAAAACGAAGGCGCAGAGACATACAAATACATCCTGATACGCTTTTACACTGGTTGCAGAAACAAGTGGCTTTATACGACACCGTTAAAATAACGGATATGACATCATCATTCAAAGATGGTATGGCAATATGTGCTATTGTTCATCGATATCGCCCGGATTTGATAGATTTTAATTCTCTCAAGTCTGATGACGTTGAAAAAAATAATCAATTGGCTTATGATGTACTAGAAAAAGAACTAGGTATTTCACCGGTAAGGAAACCAATTTGCATGTGATATATATATATATATATATATATATAGATATATATTTTTTTTTATCGTTCTATTTCACGTCCCCACCATTATCGTTTAATAAAGCTACTAACGATCTCTTGTTAAATAATATAGATAATGACAGGTGAAGAAATGGCTCAGTGCGATGTCCCTGATAAATTAGCTATGTTTTCCTATCTTACACAAATTTATGAGGCATTCCGCGGTGAAATTCCTCATATAAAGCATCCAAAACTCGTAAGTATTGACATGTACGTAACTACTCTGAACACTTGTAATAAACGACATGGTACATTTTTATTCACTCTAAGGAGCCAGATACAGATGATAATCCACTGTATAATAAACAATTGGGACAAACACTTGGGACAAAATTACAAATCAACCGTTTACCGAAACACGAAACACTAATAAGACCAAGACACTCACGTTTTTCACGTCACAACAATGAAAATGTCCAAACAATTGTGGATAAAAAAGCCGAAGGAAGTCTTGGAAGAAGATCTCGAAAACGACGCAGTAATGAAAAAATGGGAGCTACAGTCGTAAGTATATTGATGTTTTTTTTTTTTTTTTTTAATTAAACAAGTATCATAAAACGTTAATACGAAAATTGATTAATTCTATTAAGCTGGTGTGGCAGGAGAAGATTGTCATTTCAATTATGCAAAAAATATTTTTCAGTCTTGTGATTGTCCTCATTATTTGGGTTATAATGTGATTCTAAACATATTTTTTAAAAATTTATTTTCAATAATATTATTTTATGGTTTTTAATTTATACAATTGATTGTAATCTTTATCCTTTATAATTTATTAATTATTTATTTATAATTAAACGCAGAATTTATAAAATAAAAACAGTTGATTACTTTTTGTGTAATGTTAAAATTTGTACTAAAAAGGAGGAGCGACAAAAGAGACTAGAAGAGATTGTGAGCAATCGGAATGAACGAATGAGAAGAAGACAATTTTTAAGAAAAATGGCAACCCAGCAGTTTTATAAGAGCTTACAGATGTTACAAGCTAACGCGAAACGCGATAAAGAAGAACCCTTTGAAGATTACTCGATATTTTTATATCGGCAAACAGCACCCGACTTCAAGGATCGGGTCAAAGAGTTAGAGCAGAAAATACTTTACCCAGTAAGATTTATTTAGGAGTTAGGTGTGGAAATGTGTCAATAAGGCTTTATTAATCTATTTCACACAGTTATAAGAAAGGCATTTTATATTTTTTATAAAACAATGCAACATCTAACGATTGTGTGTCCCGTTTTTTTTTTCTAATTTTAAAAAAATTTTTGATTTTATTCGATTGCTGATAAATATTAATACGAGTTGATTAATCTAATGACTAATGCGACTGTTTGTAACAGCTGAGTATGATTTAATCACACCAGTAAAACGTAAAATAATTTTTTTCTTTTATTTTCAAATTTATAGGATAGAGAGCCAAAAATGCTTTTACAGTACAAAGGTGGCATGGATGATGACTTCTCTGGTAGAATAAAAGATATAGAAGATAAACTTCGAGGAACTACATCTTCAGAGAAAAAACCTCGGGATCTTTTACGTGCTATTGGTAATATTTATGTTTAGTTTATATATATGTATATTATGATTTTCTTGAAATAACTGTGTTAAATAATTTTTTTCAATTTGAATTTTCTTAGGTAAAATCGAAAAAACCGATTGGAATGTAAAAGAAATAGAAAAAAAAATTGAAGAAAATAAACTTGGTAAAGGAATTCGACAAGATAAAGTAGAACGAGTACCAAAATGGAGTCGTGAACAATTTCTTGCTCGTCAAATAAAAATGGAAAAGAAAGGGCGTGATCCAAATGATCCAGAACATAAATATGCTGAAATTGATAATACATTAAAATGTATCGATCGAAAAATTAAAGAGGGTAATATTTTGGGGCACAATAAAGTATCTGCAATGGCAGAACAATTTGCTAATAAAAATCAAGACTCTGAACCAAAAGTTCAAAGATCGGTAAGTAGTGTTATTTCAGAAACAAAATAAATACATTAACATATAATATTATTATTATTATTTTTGCTTCTATATTATGTTAGAACTCTAAAGCCGCAATTATTTTACCAACACAAGGAGGTTCAGAAATGTGCCATTTTTGTGATAAAAGAGTATATCTTATGGAAAGATTGACTGCGGAAGGCAAATTTTTTCATCGGGGTTGTTTCCGTTGTGAATATTGTTCAACTTCTCTCCGTATTGGAAATCATACGTTCGACAGAGATAAAAATGGTGGTCGGTTTTATTGTACTCAACATTTTGGATTACCAGGTACAATAAAAACAAGAATAGAAAAGAAAAAACTTCCTTTACTCAATAAAGAAAATATACCAGCAACGTCAGAAAAGAAAAAATTAACAGACAAGGTATATGAAAATTTTGAATGTCTATGAAAATAAATACTATAATTCCACGATTCATTTTTTAGATGCACACATTAAAACCACCACTGGATGGAGTAGCTGGCTTAGATCTTCTCGACCGTGGTCAAACACCTGAGAGAATAGAATTTGAAAATTTGGCAGAAATGTCAGATGCTGAAGAAGCTCACAGCCAAATGGATGAAGATGAGTGGACGGATAGAAATTTTGGTGCTTCTGCAGCAGAAATGGGATCTAGTGATGATATTTCAGATATGAGGTACGTCTAGCTATTTATATTTGCAAATATTTTACACGCCTTAACAAAGTTACTTAACTGAAAAACTTATTTTAATAAAAAGAAAACTTCAATGTCCAAAATTAATTTAATTTCAGACCTTTAACTAAAAACGGTTATAAAAAAATTTTTTTTTTATCATTAATTCAGTGCTCCCTTCCTAATATATAATGGGTTATAATTTTTTTTTCTCTTGTTAGTAACTAATAGAAAAAATTTAGACACATGAAATATCTTAGAGATAAAGTACTATGAGTATAATAATTATTTTATTTTTTTTTATTATTAGTGACTCTGATGAAGAAAACGAAATCTACGAAGAAGCTATTGATCAACCGCTAACAACCGAAGGTACAATCGAACTCGCGAAAAATTGGACACTAAGGTACTCTCATCCGCACACGACAACTGGAAACTCTGATACTGGTAGTAATGAGTACGAGGACTCTAGTGATGAATACACAAGCGAAGGTAAGTACATTTATGGGAAAAAAATAGGAAAAAGAAAAAAAAACGAAAAAAAAAAAAAAAAAAAAAAAAAAAAAAGTCTGAAAGCAGTAGTGCTAGCGTAAATTATGTAAATATATTCAGACAAATCCGTAATCCTGATGTAGACGACTTCAGACCTTGTTAAAATTTGCGTCTAGACGAAGAAACTGGCACAGCAACCGAAGACGAAGAAGACGCGCGTGCGAGAGAGCTGAGGAAGCAGGAGGTGTGGCTGAAGATGCCGCTGCGGGAGTCCGACACGGAGACTGGCTCAGAAACAGAGGTGAAAAAATCATCAAAGGACACTTTATCTCCATTATCCGAAAACTCAACCGCGGCCAGTGACAAACTTTTCGTAGAAGCAATAATGGGTAACAAAGTAGATTTAGATAATAAAGAGCCCAGTGAAACAACTATAGGAAAGGTATTAGATTGTAATCCGTCCAATGAACATGAAGGTATAGGAATTAATTCACTAATATTTGATGAAACGAGTCAATTGGTTCCTGTAACGTTGTGTACGGATAAAAATACCAGCATTGCTAATAATGCTCGTAGTAGTAGTGTTAGTAGTCGTAGTAAAGATTGTAGCAATGGTAGAGGTAGTGCTTTAAGTTTAAAAATCCAAATTCGTGATGATAAATCTGATGATTTTAATTTATATATCGATAAATGCAAGCGGAAATACAGCCTAAATGACCTTACTTTCTATCGTGAGGATAATATAAATTATAAAAAAGAATCTCCTGAAGTTTCGGTAATTATCGGTGACAATTGTACTGTTGGAGAAAATAAAAGCAATCTACCTGATTTAGTTGCTTCTTCACCGGGTCTTGCCGAAAAACAATTTGCTTCAGTTACCGATCAATCATTTGATGATAGTTTTACTGAAGCCAATGATGATTTTCTTGAAGCGCAAAACGAACTTGTAACTTGTGAACAGTTGACTGATCTACGTGATAACAAAATGACTGATATTAATAAAAAATACAATTATTCAACAGACAATATGACAGATAATTTAAAAAAAAATACTCCTGAAAAACAAACGACATTGGACTCCTTTAATATTTTAAAACAAGAAATAAAATTAAGAAGAGATAAGAAAAATATCAATTTAACTCCATTAAGACCTTTATCTCGAGAAACGGCGCGTTCGAAAATGAATCAGTACTTTGATGCTATGAAAGATGAACAATTAAATAATCAAACAACAAAAAACGTTCAAATTGAACCAACTGTTGAAATTGATATAAAGTCACACGTGTCAAACAAAATTAATTCAAAAGATTTAGAGAAATATTTTCAAAGTAATTCTAACGAAAACAAAATAAAAAATGAAGCTTTGAATTCTAATTTATCTAACTCTATTAATAATATTGATGGCGCAGATCCTTTTACTAATCAATCCATCTTGTCTGACGTAATTTCAGTTTCTCCTGTCGTATTGTCTGATGAAATCTCTGAGTCAAATATACCATTGAATAATTTAACTAAAATAGAAAAAACAAATGATGAAAAATTGTCCGGTGAGCTTATTAAAAAAGTATCTGTAACTGCAAAAGAAATTGAATTACCAAAAAAAATAATTTTAACTGACGATGAAAATGCAACAAATCAAATACCAAAAATACCAGAACGTAAACGTATTTCTAGGGAATTAAAAAGTAAATTAGTTTATGATAAGGGTCTCTCGAAAATAAACGATGAAAAAAATAATGAAACTTCAAAATTAACTTTAGTTCGTAAAAATGATTCTGGTGGATCTGGAAAAACAGAAATTTCTTCCTTGAAATTGAATAAAACCAACAAAAAACAATCGTATAGAGAACATGAAATGAGTAATAACAAAAAAGATAAATGTATTATATCGTGATAATTATTAATTTTGAATTCAGTTTTTGAAGATAAGAAAGCTGAATATATTACTTATGAATTTTTCTGTAATAGTCTAATGTGCATGTATATTTTTATCAAAATGATCATTTTCTTATAACGATTACTTGTGAGATATTGTTTAATAAAGAATAATAATATAAATAATATAAATATAAAAATATTAAATTATGGCTAGTGGTAAATATAATTTCAAACCTATAGGAACAAATGACAAGACATACAAAGGTAACAATCGAAAAACTATATTTGAATGAGAATGGTGTGTTTTTTTTTTTTTTTTTTTTTTTTTCTTTTTTGTGCTAATTAACAGAATTAACCATAAACGAAAATTTATAAAATATGTTTATGAGTATTTAATTGTTATGCGCCTCCCAAAGTGCTTAAAAATTTATTTACTAAACTTTTTTTTTAATTTGTATAAATTTGTTACTTACCACAGCCGTAAAAAATCTAATCTATTGGTTGCATTTGATTTTAAACTAAAATGAATTTGTTTTTTTTTTTTTTTTTCTTAAAAATTTATCTAAATAAATTAATATCTCACTGTTTATCGTTATCAGAATTTGATTCAACTCTTAATGTTTTGAAACGCCTTATAATCAATTTTAACTCCATAATTAGTCAACATTAACACAAATTTTTGTTTGGATAAACTTATTCATTTTTTGTTTTCAAAGTAGCAATAAATTTTTTTTTTTTACTAATATATAAATTATATGTTTTCACAGGTTGCATCAGATGAAGATTCAAGTGAAAATCGTCGAGAAAATTCAGCAACTGAAATTTCGACCGATTCAGAATTCGAGCACGACGGTACTACTCCAACGCAAAATGAATTTCCTGAGATAACTATTAATGATTGTTTTGTACGTAAAACACGTGGTCAGTATATAGAACCAAAGAAAGTACAAGTAAAAAGTAAAATAATATCTCCAGTAAATGGAAAAGTAAAGCCAGATGAAAAAAATGATACTGGTTCTACAAATAAAACAAGTATTATTAAAACAAATAATTCTTTACGGCCAGTTAATATAAATGCAGTGCCTTTAGTAAACCCCCGTAAAGGTGATTACTTATTAAATCGTACTCACTCAACTGAAGGAATTGCCTCTAAATTGTCACTAGAATTGAAGAAAAGATATCTATTAGGTGGAACAGTATTAGGTGGTACTGTTATAAAATCTGGATCAACCTCAAATGTTGATACCAAGTTACGAAACTTTACCGATACAATTTCACAACATCAAAAATTGTTAAATCCTGCTCCTGAGCCTAGTCCTACTATGCAAGCATTTTTACAAGGCACTAATAAATTGAGATCTACTTCTAATATTCCATTATCTCCTATTTCATCAACTGAATTGTTAACCAGATCTCCATTAAAAACTGTTAAGCTACCAGAAATAGATAAATCTAAAGACCGTCAAAATTATACGAGGATTCCTTTACCAGATTTGATAAAAGAAACAAATGTTATGAAAGCTAATAAAGATCCGAATACAACTTGTACTGAATCATCAAAGCAAGTTAATATTGTTGAAAACGAAGTTAAAGAAGAAAAAGGGGTAAATGAATTTAAAATGGCAGAAAAAGTTAGTGAACCAATTGAAGAAGTTCATAAAGAAAAGATTTATGAAAATCAAGAAATTGAAAGTAACAAAAAATCAAAAATTAACCTACCTGAGATATCTGCGGATGTTATTCAAGTGAACTGGAATAAAATATCAATAAACAAAGAAGATGATAATAGTACTGATGATTCTGAAATGGATAGTGATTCTCTTTCATCAAATTCTAAAAGTGATCTCAATGTTGATAATAATAAAGAACAAAAAGATGACGAAACTCATAGAAATTTATCATCTCGTTCACAAGTTCGCGATACACCTGAAAATTTATTAATTGACGATAAAGTAGATAAGTATAAAGATGAAGATACAGGAATGACATTCGAACCTGATTCTATTGAATGTGTTATGAACGTTAGAGATGAAATAAATGAAGAAAGAGTAAATAGTGTTGAACCATCGAGATCGATAAATGTATGGTCACGTTCATCAAATAATGATAATAAAAATTCAGTATATGATATAGAAACCGTCAACAATAATTTTAAACAAATAGATTTGAAAGAATTTTGCTCAAGTATAAGTAATTGTAGTAGTCCAACGTCTTTGGCTTCAATTATTTCAAATAAACAAGACGATTCTATTGATAATGACTTAACAACTGCAGCATTAACTGAAACTGAATTTTCAGAATGGGCACGAGATGGTGAAGGATTCGTTATTGCTGATTTAAAAGATGCTGAATTCGATGGTAGTTCTCGAGGTGGTAAACTTTCAATGAATAATTTGCAAGGTAGTGCAAGAATTGCGAAAGAAGAAGAAGATTTAACAGACATTGAATCATCTGAAGGCATTTTTAGTTGTCCTGATCGCACAGAAATGCCAACAAATGATACGTCAAAATTATTGGCTGATGGAGAAGATATTGATTACATGGATACTGACAATGAGTCCTTATTAGATAGTTTACGAGATGCTACAAATATACCACTAATAAAAAATCGCGGTTATGTTGAATTTGTAAATGTAACTGGTATTACTTCTTCAAATTCTAAAAACTCTTGTTCACCGTTTGCTGATGCTCCAATTGCTAAAGCAGAAGCTGAACCTGAACTTTGTTCTGATGAAGAAAAATACGACGACAATGTTATTAAAATAAATTTGGTAACTGTTGATGACGTGAGAAATCGTTTAAGTAATTGTACGATTAATACAGAACAAAGAAATAATGATATTGAAATAATGAAAAAAGAACCGCTAATAGTTGAAGCTGTTAATCGTGATATTCTACAGTCTATGGATGAAGATAGTCTGTTGATTGTTGAACCTGCAGAAGATACAACAACCAGTGAGCTCACAACAATATTAGCCAGTCCTGAATATCCTGTTTCGCAAAGTCAAACACAATCAAAAGCTAATAATGAAAGTTATAAATTAGAAGAAAATAATCCAGATTATCTTGAATACGTAAAACGGTTACAATCTAGAATTGCAGAATTTAGTAATGCTAAAGACTCAATTGATGTTAGAAAATCAAAACGGAAAAATTCTAAAAATTCACTTCAAGAGTGTTCAACAGAAATAATTGCTGAAGAAGTTAAAGGCCCATGGGCTACATCAAATCTATGTTATAATTCACCGGCGACATCGCGAAAGCTTGAAGAAATAACTCGAGAACGTTCTAAACAAAAAAATCTTATTCAGGATTTATTGATGGATAAAATAGAAGCTCATAAACAAAAATCAGCTGAAAAAAAAGCTAAAAGAGCTGCTAGAAATACATCATTTAACTCAGGCATGCAATTATATTCACCAAAACCACCCCACAGTGAATCTGATAAATCATTAAGCAATATGTCTGTTACTCCGTCTAAAACAAGTACTCCAACACATACAACATTTGCTGAAGCCAAAAAATCTCTTGAAATTCCATCAACTAATGAAAAAAGATTTGATAGTAAAATTTATCAAGAAATTTCTGATGACGATGCTAATAAAAAAAAATTGATGACAAATAATTATTCTGATAAAAGTAACAGTGACAAAATTATTAGTCAAGTTAATAATGAAAATTTCAAAACACCAGTAGCGCCACCCAGAACAAAGCATGAAGAAGCAAGAAGAACTGCTGAAAAAGCTAAACAAGAAGCACGAGAAAGAGCAAGATTGAAAAGTGATGAAGATTTGGGTCTAAGTCCTGAAGATAGAATAAAACAATTGCGATTAAAAATAACACAAAGACAATTGTCAATGGAAGATAGACGAAAATGTGAAAATGAAGATGTTTCTAATTTGAAAACTAGAGCTTACAGTTTTACTTTTCAAAAATCTGAATCTTCATTACAACCAAGTAAAAGTACAGATAATATGAAAGTATTAACCAAAAAAATAGATTTTCCAGCTACTAATGCTAAGTCAATGAGTGAGCTAGCTTACAATAAAGATCCTGAAGAAAAATTGTCATTGGACACTGCTGTTAAGCGCAGTAAAAAGAAAACTAAAGATCCAGAAAGAAGAAGAAGCATAATTCAAGCCGTGTCAGACTTTTTCAAGAAAAAAGAAACAGCTTCATCGCCAACAAGTCCAAAAGACAAGGGTTTAGGATTCTCTAGATTAACAACTAAATTGAAAGAAAGAGGGAAGGTAAGAAGAAAATTTAATCAAGTATTTATTTATAATTGATACTAATAATATTCCTGAAACATGTTTTATCGAATTTTTAACATGTTTCAGTTAAAATGGTACTCAGAAGGGTCCGATGTAAGCAATCAAAAATTAATCATTTTTATACTGAAATTTTAGTTTTTTTTTTTTTTTATTGTTGTGGAATTTCAACTGTTTGAATTTTTTGTTTATTTATTTGTAATATTATACTTTTTATTTTACAGTAGTTTATTGTTTTAAAATTTTTATGTTTGTATTGTTTTGATGTGTGCAAAATGTAAAAAAAATTTTTGTGACAGTTTAATCAGTAAAATTATAAATTTAATCATTTTTAGATCGATAAATTGGATCGTAAATTTGATGAAAGACCCAAAAGTGTTTGCGAATCAATTTTAATTGAAAACTTCATGGTATCTTTGCCACCTGTACCACCACCTCCAATTAATTATCCAGATGTGACAGTACATGTTTCGGGTATGCTTTTTTTTTTTTTTTTTTTTTTCCTATATAAAGCAAAATGTAAATAAAAAAAATAACACCTAATAATTATTTTGGTTAACAGATGACAGCTTATCTGAGGAAGATTCAAAAATGACACATTCACAATTACAAAAAACTGCAAACTTGGACGGATCGTGTAATAGTATATCACGTAAATTAAAAAACACTAAAAAATTGGTCCGTCAAGCTCAGTCGAAGAGATTAAGAATAGCACAAGAAATTCAACGTAAACTCGAAGAAACAGAAGTGAAACAACGTGATTTAGAAAGCAGAGGGGTTAGTGTCGAAAAAGCACTTCGGGGTGAAGGAGATTCTTCTGGTCGCGAAGAAACTGATTTATTAGGCGAATGGTTTGATTTAATGCGAGAACGTACTGAACTACGCCGTTACGAGAAAGAACTTTTGGTCCGAGCTGAAGAAGTCCAATTAGAGGATCGTCATGATAGATTGCAACAAGAATTACGAGAAAGATTAGCTGACGATGGTTTGTATAATTACTTTTTGTTGTTTTATTTATTTTTTTTTTTTTAATGTTTAACTTAATATTTTAATAATAATTTATATTTTAGATGATAAAAAGACATCCGCTGACGTAAAGAAGGAAGGAGAAATATTAACAGAAATGCTAGAAATTGCAGCAAAACGAGATTCATTGGTAGCGTTACTCGAGGAGGAACGACAAAGGTGGCGTAGACTCTCGTGTCCAACATTCATTGCACATTGTTGTACAAGCATTTCTACGAATTCTAAACAATCCATTAACACTCATAAAACTATTTCAACTCTCCATTTAGCAATAATCATTTTAATAACCATCATAATTTTTTTAATTTTTTTCTATACAGTAGAAATTTTTTTACCCCACTATTTCTAATGAATTTTTAAAATTGTTTTACACTAATTTAATGTGATTGCTTGTTGGTCATGGTTTTATCGTGCATGGTTTTATCATATTTTTACAAGATTGCATTTTGTTACTCTTTATTTGTAAAAAAAAAAAAGAAAATTTTCAACAGTGCTGCATGCAGTGTTTGCTAAAAATCATAACAAATAATGAATACAAAAGTATTTTGTTGTTTGTAATTGATTTAAAATTTTTTTATTTGACTGATTTTTTAAGTGCAATATTTCATTGTTAATATGTAATTAGTAGTATTGATTTTTTTAAAATAATAACAAATTATCCATTAAATATCGGAGCATTTTCATTTTTCAATTGTTTCGATGCATGTTCTTGTTGATTTTGTTATACAAAAAAATTTTATTTAAGAAGAAAATTCGTTTATGAGACTTGATTGTAATTATTATGAACAAATTGAGGGAATGGTGATAGCAAATTTGTATAAATAATAGTATTAATACCAATATTAAAACATTAAATTGTTTATATTTTTGTTTAATGAAATTTTTATGCTTGAAGAATGGTTATTTTATGGTTATTTTGTAAATTATTAATTACTAAATTTTTTAAATTTAGAAACTGAAATTTTATAAATAAATTTAGTATTAAATATTTCTGATAATAATTAATGTTTTATTATATATTTATTTAATTTGTATTAAACAAATTTTTTTCAGATATAAAAATGAAGAAAAAGATCTCGAGGCTCAAATGCTAGCTAAAGGCTTAACTTTAACACCAATTGAGAAGGATGATTCCAAATATTTAATTTAGAAGATTGATTGTGATGTTTTTAAATACGAATTTAATGATTAATAATTATATTTTTAAATTATATATAAAGTAATTATGTGAAATCTCGAATCGTTAATAAGAAAATTGTAAACGTGGAGAATTACATTAATCTTTTCTTTTTTTTTTAATTATAAAATGTAAGTAAATCATCGGAATTTTTTATTCAAATTCAATATTTAAGTACGTAAATTGATAATATTTTTTAATAACTTATAATATAAATAAACTAATAACTAAATATTATTCGTTTATTTACTGATAAATAATTATTATATTTTTACTTGAAACACGAAAAAAAAAAATCAGATAATTATTATAACGTATTCACAATTGAATTTTGAAAGCTGTAGTAAAATAGTCTTTACAATGCAAAAATTAACACAATTTATCACAGTTTTATAATTAAAATGCATGGCTTTAGAAATCATTGCCATTAGAACCAGGAAAAAATGTGCCTAAACCTGGAATTGAACTTGCAAAAAAAAAAAAAACGAGCTTTATCTATTTCAAGAAAATGTATTAGAATACAACTGGAATTAATTTTATGTAATTATTAAAGAACAAATAATCACTATTTAATTTAACGCTCATGTAAGGCCAAAGTTTTGTCGAAATTTCATAATATTAATAATAATTAACGATCATTTTAAAAAAGCGTTAAAATTACCGAAAAAAATGTATTGTTATCTTTCATGAATTTACAAATTTAGTTTGTATAGTTATGTAAATACATGAAATTGATTGTTCTTAATAATAATAATTATTAAGTTGATCTTCGCGAAGATCATAATTTTTAAATTCATATGTAAGTATGTATTAAAAATTCTTAAAATATAAAAGTTTTTTACTTAATAAAGAAAAATGAAATTTATTGATAAAACCTTTTTTTTTCAACTTCCCGCTTTGAAAATTGATAATTTTCAAAAGTAGAAAGTTATTGATTGAAAATATCAAAATTAAACTGAACATCGTACAAGTTTAATCGAGGTGAAAAATTCAAGCCGTGTAGTTTGTACGGTGAAAACTAAGATTGTATTTTCAAATCAGTATTTATGATTTTTAATAACATCCGAATATATGTACTTACAAAAAAATAATATTTTTACTAATAAGTTAAAAAAAAAAATTTGAAAAATTCAAAAGTTCACGCTTCCATTCTTTTTTTACTATTAAAAAAGGAAGAGTAAAAAAGATCAAACGATTCAAAAGAAAACAATTCCATTAAATAAGTATACATATTTTTTCTTTCCTGGCAGTATTTTTGTTAATAATTGTTGATTTATTTTAACTATAGTTTTATAAAATTTTTTTTTTGTCTAATAAAGAATATGATGAAAAAAAAATATATATATATATATATATATATATGTGAAATTATAGAAAATATATTGAATTACGGTAATACAGTAATATCGAGAGTCGATATCAAAATATTTAATTATTCACCATGTAATTCCAATTTATATCGTGGCGCTGTTTAAGGGGATAAATAACAGATAATAAATAATAATTAATGCTAGAAAGAGAAGAAGTATAGAAATATGTAGTAACAAGAGAGAAATGAAAGTAGTGTTAGTGACGACGTCGATGAAATAATTTGAAAAATCTATCAACTTTCATTGATGTCTTTCAAATAATTACGAGTTCGATAACAACCAGGATTATCAATCATTATAAAAAGATGAACGAAAAATTATTTAAAACAGGATTTATCTTAATCCATTTAATTTGCTCTAAAACATCAAGACTCACCGACGTATCATAAATGAACTGACGGCGGTATATACAAGTTACATATAATTTTTTGAGTGTAATTTTTCATTGGATAAACAAAAAATACAATAATATTAAAATTCTATATCTGTAGTTGTGACAACATCTCTTTTCAAATGAATTTTACGTTTAAATTCAATTATAAAAACATTTTCTAATACAAAATTAACAAATAGTATAGGGTAAAAGACTTCATAAGTGGCGGGGACCCCACTACTGAAACTTTCTTTGATTTTGGTTCTTATTCAATTAATGAAATCATTAATTTCAATAATGAATATATTATTTCTAATCTTTAAGACTTTTAGATCAAAAAAAATTTTCAATTTTTATTCCAAGTAGAACATTTTTTCATTATTGAAAGAAAAAGTGCCACTAATGGGGCCTTTTACCTTAGTCATCCTGATTAAAACTACCGATTGAAAAAAATTGAAAAAAATAAGATTTGAGAAGAAAAAGAAGAAAAAAAGATGGGATCGGAGCCATTATTAAATAGACAACGACAGTAGTATGAAAAAAAAAATAAGAACTTTTCGATAGTCCTCTAATATTATCCATCATTAATGAGCCATTTTTACTTTTTACAGAAGTAGATACTTTTTCATGTTTCTTAATTATCACATTTTGATAGAATTCCCGATACAAGTTATATATTTGGACTAGATACTTTTAGTTTCAAATTAAAAATATTATTTTCAAGTAGGTAAGTTGATGTTTCCTTGTAAGAATATTTCTCTGGAAAAACTGAGAATAATTTTTTATAATTACGAATAACAGTTCTTAAATGTTAAATTCTTAAGTGAAAAAAATTTTTAATTATAGTTGATAAATTTTCGCGACGTGGTTTATAAGATTTTCAAGTCCTAAAAAATGTTATATGTTAAACCGAAGGAGAATGAAAATACTTTTGACCAGCAGTTTGCATGAATCTAACAAATCTTGTTGAAGTATTTCACTCAAGATCGAGACGCGTTATAAAATAATAACCAAGAACGTCACTCAGTAACTTTCCAAGATTTCTTCTTTAAAAATATTTGTGGGGTTTGATGAATTTCGTTTGTTGAATATGGTTATTCGTTAAACACGAGTATTTATTATTTATTTTTTTTTTTGGCTTCCTGGCAAGTAATCTTTGCTCCATTTCTTCCGAAGCTGATGAGTCACGCCCAATAACACTCCATGGCATATATAATCGTGAGGATTATAACACCAAATTCAATAAAAATTAGGCAGTGATAACAGAACACTTGATCCTTTTATGCCGTAAACGAAATATTTTGGTTTTTGGGAGTTTTTGGATATCTTTACTATCTTTACTCTTCGACGTTTCTTAGGTCACTTAGGTCAAGATCTCGTCACGGTATTTCTGAAGATAATGGATACTTCATACTGTCAAAGCTAAACAAAACCCACGTTGATAACACCAACTGCAACCATATAGAAGCCATTGAATTACAATTGATTTTTCAAAACAAGCCGTGCTACAAAAACAAACGGAAAAGAGAAAATTTTTAAAAAGTACGTCGCAACCTTACCGTCATCGCTAAGAACTTCCAAATTTTTCTTTTTCAACTTTTTTATTTGTTTAATAAAAGTGTTTAAATAAATGTTCACAAAATCATTCTTACGGCCAAAGCAGACTACATATGCAAAACAGTAAATCCAGTGTGAGATCCAGTACTTAATTTAAGGTCTGTTATATCTTTCAACACGAACTTCATGTAATTTAATACATTATTCGTTTTAAAAAGAAGTATATTAAATCTACATAGGTATACTTGAAGCGTCACATCAATTATGCCCTTAAAATTTTCAGACTTACGCCAAAATTAAAAATTACCCCGTGTGGTTATCAAAGTAAAATTAAATGGTTATTTTATAAAAGTATAAACGTTAAATCTCTATTATGACACACCTCTTAGGATGTGTTGGACAATTTTAAAAAATAAATAATTTTAATAATTCTCTGTACATACAGGAGCATTGGACACTTGGATAATGTTTGTCAGAACTGTAAGGAACAACTGATATGACAATTTTTTATATTGCGCGGTACCGGATGATAGGGGGAGGAGGAGATAGAACGATAGAAGCGCCATGAGGTGGTCATTATTGATAAATAAAATGCCTGACCCTGACGCACAGCGCAGCACTTTACTAATGATTTATTAAAATAAATCCAGTGTCGTGGTGTTTTGAGAGTAAAAGATTTTTCACTATCTGTCAATAATTTAGGACAAATAATGTTACTACATTGGCGATAAGGATATTTTATTTAAAACAAGTGGTGTTATTAATTTTATCTTGAATTAAAAATATTATAATTTATTGATTGATAATATGGAAGCTGACCCAAGTTTAGGTAGAGCTTTGACAGGTAACTGGATAACAAATATAAACACATAGGCGTTTTGTATTTCTCAACAATATTTACTATTAACATATTTATACATTAATGTCACACACCGACACAAATAACACACCCATATAAGGTTTCTTTTCATTGTCACGTAACTATTTTTTATTTAAAATTATAGATTTATTTTTATTTTAGGAAATGAAGAAGATCCATATCCAAGTTTATCTGATTACCATGACTATGAGCCAAATTTAGAGTTTGATGATACAGAACTTCAAACGACTACTAATAATGGTTATAAATATTTTTATTATTTTTTAAAATAGCTAAACATTTTAATGAATAATTAATGAATTAATGAATTAACTAACGTCTATTATGGAATTTATTAACTATGTACAATTTAGTATCACAACTTTTGGAAGAAAAACTTGATGTTAGTACAGCTGGATCGGGGATTGTGGATTACTTAGAAAGTCCTGTAAGTGATGGAACCATAGAAGAAAATTTTGAAGAAGCATTAGTTGACGCACCAGTAATTAAAAATGGTAAAGTACTTTTATAGCTTTGAAAAATCATTTTAATATCATGTTTATCTTTTAAATTTAATCTTAACAGCTGAAGACCTCGCAGCCCTTGATGCCGAACTTGCTGATGAAGAAGATTATAATGACATTGCACGTCTTGGTATTGTTGAAGTCGTTGGTGATGATAGTGCTGGACGTAAAGTTATCGTTGTATCAGCTTGTAAACTTCCTGCTGTAGGAAAAGAAGTCTTTAATCATGCCAAACTTCTCCGGTGTGTAGATATATAATAATTTTTAGTTTTATATTTTTTAATTTTATTGGGAATAATGAAATAAATTTCTTAAAATAATTTTAGATATCTAACACATACTTTGGATACCTTTGTAGAACAAGATTATAGTTTAGTATATTTTCACTATGGCCTTACATCGAAAAATAAGCCACCATTAACATGGTTATGGCAAGCTTATAAGGCATTTGATAGAAAATATAAAAAAAATTTAAAAGCGTTATATTTAGTACACCCTACAAATTTTATTCGAATAGTTTGGCAAATTTTTAAACCAGCTATTAGGTAACAACAATTTCAATTCAATTAAGTACTATTGACAATAATAGACGTTTTAATAGTTTTATAAATATTTTATAGTGCAAAATTTGGTCGAAAAATGATGTATGTAAATTATTTGGATGAATTGGCGCAGCATATTAATCTTGACCAATTGATCATTCCTCAGCAAGTTATAGAGTAAGTTTTCCGTATAAATTAATTAATAGTTATTAGAACTGTGTATTTTACAATAAATTTGTTTTTCAGTCACGATGAACAATTAATGTCCAAAATAAGAAAGCATTTACCTACAAGTCCTCCCCCAAGCTCGGTCACAACGCCAATTGCTACAACACAATTTGGAGCAAGCCTTCAATTTATTAAAGAAAATAACGGAGGGGATCCAATTCCACCCATTGTAAAACAATGCGTTGAATTTCTTGATACTCCGGATGGTCAGTTTTTATTAACGAATTAATTTCTTTATATTTACATTATTTATTATATTTTTGTTTTAATTTTTAATGTTGTATCCATAATATTTTTAGCATTGGAAACTGAAGGGATATTCAGAAGATCAGCAAATGTTGCAGTAGTTAAAGAACTTCAAAGTCGATGTAATCATGGGCTTGCAGTTGACTTTCAAGGAGATCCTCATATTGCAGCCGTCCTTTTAAAAACGTTTCTTCGTGAATTAGATGAACCTCTTATGACTTACGAGCTTTATGACGAGATTTCACAATTCCAAAGTATGATAATCTATTAATCAACACAAATATGTTTATTAAATGCCAAAATTACATAGAATACAGTAATAAATAAATATTGTAATATTACAGCTTTATCAAAGGATGAAAGACCACGAAAAGTGAAAATTTTAGTTTTGGAAAAGTTACCAGAAGATAATTATCAATTGCTTAAATACATAGTACAATTTTTATCTAGGGTAAGTATTTCAACTAAAGATATCAATTAAGAAATACTTATATTATAGTTTTGATACATTTTTTGTGCTTTTTACAGGTAATGGATAGATGTGACTTAAATAAAATGACATCAAGTAATTTAGCTGTAGTTTTTGGGCCAAACTTAGTTCGAGCTCCACCTTCGGTAGGCATGTCACTTTCAGCAATAGGACCAATAAATCAATTTGTAGACTTTTTATTTGCTTATCAAGATAAAATATTTATTATTTAAGAATTATTAATTTTTAATTTCTCTGGCCTATAGGTACTCGATTAGACAAAATTTTGATGCAATGTAATAGACTGATCAAATTGATTTGTTTCACAAAAAAAAATTTGTATCATATTTATTCAGAGTCAGTATTGATGGCTAAAAATTAAAAAGCCTGTTAAACTATCATAATGAGAGAAACAAAATTTTAATACTACAATGTTTTTAATCAAAAACATTTTTATATATTATCAATTCATTATTGTTTTTTTTTTTTTTTTTTTTATTTTCAAATTAAAAAACATAAACACTTTTTTAGAAACTAAAAAATAAAACTATTAACCTAGTCACAAGAAAATGCACAATTTTTATCATGAAAGTATATTTGAAGTTAACAAACAATTCTGTATATCAATTTCGAATTTTTCAATATTTATACTGAATTCTCGATTGTATACCAAAGATAATTAACTAAAAAACGTTATAGTGTTAATATTATATTAATTAAAAGAAAAAAAGATTGACGCGATGGTGAAAAAGAAAATAGGGCCAATTTTCTTTTATAATAACATTTATTGATAAAAACAGATGCCTTAATAAGCATGAGATCATTATCATTATGAATAGTTGATCATTTTTGTAAAAACATATTATTTTCTATTAATTCATTGAAAATATTTTTTTTCAATACTAAAATTTGTAACCTTACATTCCATTTAAATATACTATTGAAAATATTTTTTTTTCAATACTAAAATTTGTACCTTACATTCCATTTAAATATACTACCGGCCATTAAAAATATATTATTAATCCGATTAAATATTATACAATTAAAAAAAAGCATTATATATACATTCAATGATAAATATAAAATTGCAGGTTGCATTAACTAAGTATGGGGCATAACGATGATGATGATGAAAAGCGTAAAATAATTATATTGTAAATATAAACGATTTAATTACGAAGTGTAAAAAATATATTTAGATTAGTTGAAACAATTAGATTTTTAATAATATAGAATTAGATTGATTATAAATTTTCTTTATACATAATTATGTGTTCAACAGGATAGATTGTGAATGCAACGTAAAAAAAAAATTTATATCTAAAAAAGTTTTTTAAAATAATTTTTCAATTAATAATTTTATTTTATTAAATAAAAATTTTGAATCAATCACAAATGTATAACATAATCCAGATATAAATATGTATCGACAACCGAATTTAATTCTAAAAACATTAAACCTTCATTGAAATAAAGCGTCAGAAAATCTTAATAAAAGCTTTTATTCATTGTTTAATATATTGTATATATATATATTTTTTTTTTTTTTGTATTTATATATGTACATAGATAAGTATCGTAAATTATTTCATTTTAATCGAGGTGAATAATTATCATTGTATTTCATGATTTATTAAATTATAGCGTCTCAGTATATATACGTTTTAATGTAATCATAGGCGATATATGTTATAAGCTTGAAACTTATTTTGTTTTCATTTTTGGCTCTTTGCAGCAATCTGTGATTAGCATTTTTTTCATTTGTTGCCAAAAATCATGGATTACACTTTAAAATTTTAATTATAATTTTTATTTATTTATATTTTCATAATAAAATATTAAAATTTGATAAATCATTTCTTACATATGAGTACATTTAAAAATGTATTCAATGACATAGTCATTAATATAGTTTAGAAAATGACTAATATATACATTTATATTTTTTTTTTTATTGTAAAAAAAAAAAAAACAAAATTATTAATGATGTGTCGAGCCTCCACAACAAGATGATCTAGTAGACTGAGTTTGTTCTACATCATCTTCAACAACAACAACATTTCTTCTATTACTGTTAACTCGACTTAGACTAGATTTTTTTTGTTCAATTTCATCTGCATGGGCCATCATTCTCTTCGTTAAATCCAAAAACATTTCTTCAATATTTCTATTCTGCTTTGCAGAAGTATGAAAATGCACTGCACCAACTTGTTTTGCATATCTGTACAAAATATCAAGTAAATCTTGTATTAACTAATAATAATAATCAATGATGAAATTTATTTTTTCGTGAATAATTGACGCTAGAATTAAAATGTCATGAAAAAATAATATCTTACTCTTCAGCTTCTTCGATAGGAACATTACGATCTTTCTCAAGATCTACTTTATTTCCAGCGATTGCTAGACATACATCGTCTCCGAGCATTTTTTTCAGTTCTTTAACCCAACTCTTCACCTATAAAAAATACATTAATAAACTTGATATCTTTTAGTGTTCTGATAACAAAAAAAAAATTCTTATCAATAATATGTAATCTTACTTTTTGAAATGTGTCTTCGTCAGTAATATCATACACTAATATGGCTCCATTTGACATTCTATAATATATTGGTCCTAGAGCATGAAATTTTTCTTGGCCGGCAGTGTCCCATATTGCGAGGTTTACTCTTTTAGAGTTAATATTTAATTTTTTATTAAGAAATGACGCCTGAAAAATAAAAAATATAAATTATTAAGAGATAACAAAACAATGACAATAAATTATAAAAATAATATCTTGCCTGAACAGTTGTTAAATGTTTATCATTAAATTTATCTTCAACGTATCTGAGAGCTACAGAAGTTTTACCTACACAACCTTCACCAAGTAGAACAACTTTAAAATTATATCCACTGCCCGAATTCAATATCGAGCTTGCCATGATGGCAAAAAAAAAAACCGGTTTAATTAATAAACAAATTTAATGTCGTTAATAAATAATTAAAATAAAAAATTGACCTTTTCGATATTATAAAATTACCAAACATGCCAAAAAAAAATGAATTAATTATTTGAAATTTAACACTAAACTGCTTAATAAAACGAATGTCAAAGTTATATTAGATCAGCTGTTTTAAGTTATAGTCAATCAGCAATAGCGAAATAAACTGACAGAAACTTCCATACTAATATTATCATTATTTACTATTTTGAGTAGAAATAAATATCAAGTACATTAAACTCTCCGAAAAGTTATCTTCTGTCTTTTTCTTTCTACTTGTGATCGTGGCAAAAACTGAAACACAACTAAAGTAACTTTGTTGAGAGTTTACTAAGTGTGAGATTTAACAATCGCCGACAGATGTCGCATTGTTAAGTTAAAATGTCGGAGTAAATAAACAAACTTGTTTATACGAATGTAAATTAAAATTATTAAAGTATAAATATAAATATATAATTAAATTTATAACATCCGTACATCTTTTTAATTTTTACAAAGACGTAATTCCTTTTAAATCATGAAGAAATTAATAATGACAATAAATGAAAAACAATATTTTTGGATAAATATTGTCAAATATTTAAATATTTATAATTTTCCAATTCTGGTTTTACGTCAACTGTCACTTTGGCCGACATCAACAGCGTCACGTGACTAAATAATGTGTAGCATACAAAAAAAAAAAAAAAAATAACAAACCGGAAGTGACTTAAAAATAAAAAATGTTAAGTAAATTATAACTGGTAAGTATAAAAAATAAAATAAAATGAACTATCATTATGACTAACAATTGAATATTTTTATTTGTGTTAGGAATAATGTTTATAATAATTATTGGCGGTTTTTGTAAAATAGTTTCTGATTTGACCTTGTGGTATCTGAGATGACTCTGCGTGGTAATGATGCGCTAGAAACTCTGAAATTTGGCCGTCACCTCTATTGTAAAGGTAAGTGATACTCCGCTTGGATTTATATTATTAATCTAGTAATATTGTGTATTTATATCATAGAATTATTATTAATATAATACTAATTGATTGTTTATCACTTGAGTGCATTGTCATGAACAATAAATAGAGTATATTCTTATAAAATCGTGTGAGATGTCAGCGTCGTCCGGTGTGTGTTTAACTCATGCATACGCCAGACTGTTAAGTGTATCATATTAAATTACAATATTTAACAATTATTCAACGATTTTCTAAAAGTACGTTTTTAAATTTATTTTTACTTAATATTACTATCAATAAATCGAAAGTGGATGCTACTGTCAGATAAAATATTAAAAGTGTGATTTTACAAGTCAAACGCGCGCCGCTGTCTGACTTTAGTACTCATTTTAATCGGCTTTCCGTTGACAGATTTACTATTATAATTATTAAAAAATAATATTGTATTTTTAAATAATCAACAGTCATCATTATTTAATCAGTTGTAAAACAACTGATACTATAACGTTCTAATAATTGATGCCATTTAGCAAGTTACATTTATATATTTGTTTGTTTGCGTGCTGTATTATCTGTCATGGCGTTCCCATGGCGGTTGATTGTCGGTGGCACTTTTTGCAAATTGTCTAAAATATCTTTATTTATCAAGTGAGATTTAACAATATTATCCAAAATATCCTTCGTTGATGTTTGGTTGGTATTTAAATTATCGGATTGTTTGTGTCCATTGTATATATTTATTTAAAAGATGTTTGAAATATGACATATAATTTATCGGGCATAGAAGGGGAGTCGGGGACGAGGAAGGGACGAAAGCCGCAATGGCGGCGTCCTGTGCTGTGCCACGCGCCATGTCGGACTTGTCGTTGCGCACGTCGGTTTTATGTACAGCCCTTTCGCGCCTCATGCTGAATTTGTCCTCTATAAAATCACCGACACTCGTTGCTTCTGTTCTACTGGTCTACTTTCTTATTTTGAATCCCGTCATCTAATCTGGTTTCTTAACGTCTCCTCACCTAAAAGTCATAATAATTTTTATTTTTATCGTAAATATTTCATACTGTCCCACTATTTATAAATTTTCGATTCAATTGTTGATTTAAATATATCCACACCAAAAATGTTATCCTCCCCCACTATGCAACGTCATGTACCCAAACCTAATCTCTCATTCCCTTCCCCTATAATTTTCTTGTCCTCATTTTCGATAAGTAAATGTGCTAGTATTTTTTTTTTTTTTTTTTTTTTTTTTTTGACAAATTAGTAATTTTTTCTTTTTTTATTTTTAATAATAATCAAAACGCTGATTAAAATTTTCAAGAGTACGACGACTTCTGTACTCATTCGAATACGAATGTTTGTTTCTTGATGCAGTTCTTTATATTTACTTTAGTACATTGACAGATATAAACTACGCATATGCGCGAGATTATTTATTTGTATATATACATGTATGTATTTATAAGTTATTTTTGTTCATCTGAAAATAAGAAAAAGACAAGTGGATTATGTGTACATAACGCGACACGTTTATTAGTCAACACACATTCACGCGCAAATATAGAAAACACGAATAATAACAATTTACAGATTGTTAAAATATAAAATGCGTATTTAGCGTATGACGATAAAAATTTTTAAATAAATTTAACGTTAACACTGCTTGATTGCATTTGAATGTGAAAATAATTAAATAAAATAAATTTATATTTAACAGCTTGGAAAGGAAAAAAAATAAATTAAAAAAAAAAACATTCATCAATCTTTAACATTTTGTGCGCAAATTATCGGGATTTCATTTTCGATACAAAACGGATTATTTTTTGCTAAAAAAAATAATGCATCCATTTTATTGTTGTTCAATCACTTTCATGTCATCTCGAAAGTTCACTTTTCGGCAAATATATACCGACATGTATAACCGATAGGCGGAGAAAAAGTAAAAGAAAAGTTGTATTGCTGAGTAACTAGGTCAGGGACAAACAATTAATTGCTATATCAGACAAACGTCATTACTTAGTTTTTTTTACATAATTGTTTATAAATAAAATACCCAAAACTTTTTCTTTTCACCTTTATTTAAGTTACGTAGTAAATCATTAATTTCACCTTGTATGAAAAATGAAATCGAAAAAGAAAAAAAAGTAAAATTGAGTAACTGAGCGCGATTCACTTTCTTTAGTAGACAGTGATCGACTATTGACTCTCTGTACCTACTGATATTATCATTCTTTGACAAAGTATTACGTGCAACAACTGTTCATGGTTAATAATAGTGTCAAGGGCAAAGCATGCGAATTCTCCATCGATATATTTCTAGGCATATAGTAGTTTTTATTTATTTATTAAATTATAATGTAGCTTTTAATAATTATTGCTTATTTTTATTTTTCAGTTATCCTGGGTTGATTAAACAAATAATGATGTTTAATTTTCATAAACCAAAAGTTTACCGCTCACCCACGGGATGCTGCATTTGCAAAGCCAAATCAAGCAGGTTTGTCATTAATTTTTTCTTTCTAAATTAAAAGGTTCAAATTTTTTAACATAAATTTAATAATATTAATTTTTGTTACAGTTCTCGGTTTACCGACAGTAAAAAGTACGAATCTGAATTTGCGAAGTGTTTCCTACTAAAAGAACCTCGCACCGGTGAAATTTGTAACGCATGTGTTCTTCTGGTTAAACGTTTCAAAAAGCTACCTCCTGGTTCACTAAGAAATTGGTTTTATGTAAGTTGATTTTATTCCAAATTTTAAGTGATTGAGTGTTATTAAAATTGATAAAATCAAGATAACAGATAATTGAAACTATACCTTGTGTTACTTACTAAACAAAATAATTATTTTCAGACCGTGGATAGTCGTGGAGGACCTGGCGTTAAATCGTCATCGAAATATAAATCTAAGAAAAAGAAAAAACCTAAAGATATTCCTGAAAAAATTGTTAAAAAGAAACATGTTTATGTTAAATCTGAAGATAGAGAGCGTAGCCCTGTGATAAATGACGATGTAAATGGTAAGTAATCTTTATTTTGGCTTCTTTTATACATTATATAAAAAACATTTATGTTTGAAATTATTTTCATATTGAAATTCTTTTAGATGAATTTTTAAATGGCAATGGAAGCAAAGAATCTAGTAGATCTGGAAGTCCCGAAGAATGTGATGATATCGAAATGATTGAAAGCACACCAACTGAAAAGCATCCTATCGACAGTAACGAAGAATTAGCTTATAGTTTCATCGATTTGGACTATTTTAGAAGGTAATTAAAATTATTAAGTTAAAGGGATTAAACTTTGGTTTATAGTTTTTGTTGCATTAAATATGAGACATGAAATTGAGTATAATTAATATATTTTTTTTTTGTTTTTCATAGGACTACAATTTGTTGCGGAGTCATATTCAGAGGTCAATATGATGAAATTATCGTAGTCCCAGAACTGATTAAACGTTGTTCACCCTGCATTATGCGACAACAACAACGTAGAAAAATAGAAAAAAATATTGCAGCTAATAGTCCATTCCATAGCTCGGCATCAACAAGCCCAGCTTACAGTGCATCCTCGTCGAGTCCTGCTCACAGTCCTGACTCTACTACAGATGCTGCTGGAACCAAATCTACAGGTAAAGTGTTCAGTGATAATTCATGGGATTCTGGATACGATGAGTCTTCCAACCAAGGAGTTGGTGAGAATAAAGTTGTCCAAAATAATCTAAATAATAGCACAAGCGTGACTGACACAACTAATAATAATTCAGTCCAAGGAGTTCAATTAAAATCCACGCCGCCAACAGAAACTGTCAGATTAGTTCAAGTACCAATTAAAGTGATAAAACCAGCTGAAAAATTCGGAAACAAATCAACTCTTTTATCATCTAAAAGTCTGACTAGTACAAACAGCCATTCTCATACGATAATAGGTAATCCTCTTGATGATTTCGCTACTCATGCTGTAGCGAGACAATCTGTCATTAATTAGTATCGTTTTTATCCTAGACTTGATTAATTTATTTTAACTTTTTTTTTTATAAGATAGTTAATTGTAATTGAATGAAGTAACGATGTTGCTGCATTTAAATTATTAAATAAAACAATACTATACCCTGGCAATCGTATGGTATTTATAAATAATTATTAACTAAGAAAACTATTCCATGAAGATGATGGGTCATCTAGCAAAAATTTAATTTACTTGACAAGAAAAAAAAAACTTAAAAAAAAAAAAACGAAGTAGAAAAATTGTAGCTATAAATTTTATTTATTGTGAATAACTTATTTTCAAATTTATTTAATGTATCGCGATGAAAAATTTAATATTTGAAGTTTTTTTTAGAGAAAAAATTGTAAATTGTGAAAAAAAATTTATCAATCATATTCCCTTTTTGATGATATGCATCAAAATACTGTGATAGTTATGGTATATTGATATTATATATTTTAAAAATATTCGTATAACTGTGAAATTATTATTAACAATGTAATAGTTTTCAAATTTAATTGATTTATGATGCCCATCTTATCGATTCTAATCAAACAAGTCTTCTCGATAATTTATTGCTAATCATGAGAATAAATAATACAATTTTACACGTAATGTTCTAAGATGCCAATTAACTTTATTAACATTTAAATTATTTAAAGTAATCGAATCGTTTAAAATCGAAATTAAAATATTTCCTTGTGAACATATAAATATACAAAAACTATTGCATTTTGGATTAATCGCAATCTCCATGACGTTAAGAGTTTATTTACTCAAATTAAAAATAGGCGTGCTCGGATATTAAAACTAAAAAAGAGATATGATGACCCAATAATTTTATAGCAATAAATGTTAAAGAAACTTTTTATTTTTTTGAAATTTACCAAGATTTAATGAAAAACTTTTTTTTTTTTTTTTTTTTTTTTTTTTTTTTCTAGCATTTATGTTGTATTAAAAGTAATTAAATTTTATCCGGAACGATGTTTAATCAAGAAAATTGTTGAATAAATCAATTTTAAAGTGCAAAAATTAACGATGCTTATAAGTTGAACTATTTCAAAATAAGGATGCTAACAAACATTAAATGGCTGATGATTAAAAATTTTCTGCACGACTCATAATACGAAACATTAGAGAGTGCTTTCTTTACAGAAAAAAATTTCTTTTTCGTTTTTTTTTCCTTTTACTATAAAAAGTCAATTGTATATTTAAACGACGTACAAAGATTAGTTTTATTTGTAATGTGCAATATATGTCTTTGTATCTCGATAATTTAAAGGGGGGAAAAAAAATATTAAAACAGATATTTTGAGAGATTATCTGAAAGTAAACGTGAATATTTATCGATGCATTTTTTAGGAACATATTGATGGCTTAATTTTATTTAATTTAAATAATTTAATACTTGAACATTGATTCAGATTTTACTATTTCAAAATTATGCAAAAAGTAAATGAATGAAACAATTCGCAGTAAATTTCAAATAATATTTAAAGAATTGAGTCATCAATTTAATAATAATAATAATAATATATATGGTCAGAGACAATCATAAAATATATATAAAATATTTCATGAGATAGTGTCATTTTAAAATCTAACATCGACTAGATGAATTTTTTTAAGACGTTTTTTATTTTGCCTTTAAAAAAGTTAATTAATTATAGTTATATAATCGCATGATCTCTAAAAAAATAAGTCCAGAGTCAACAGTTTATTTAACAGTACAACAAATGGGTGTTATCATTGGGTTTTTAGCATCATTTAATAGATGTTGTAAGACTGCTCTATTATTTTAAGCCGAGTACGTATTTAAAGATGAAAATATTTAATTTAATTTTTTAATTGCAATAAAATAATTAAATTTTTTATATCTTGCAATTAACTTTAATAGGCTATTTATAACAATATTTTTAATTTACTAAGTATCTGTTGGTCGATAAAATGCCTGTACTGCCAGATTATAAAGTAAACACACTAACATTTACTTATAGGAATCATTTAAAAGTTTTATCCAACAAAGATTTTTTTTATGGTCAATTATTTCCATACATAGTCAAGTTTTATTTACTTACCAATTTTTTGGTCAATTTATACATAAGTATTTGTCAAATATCTTTTTCAATTACGATGATATAAAATTTTATACATTGAAATATATTTTCGCTAGTTTATATACTGTATTTTTTTAATTTAAATGACTTACTCCATGTTTTATTATTTTTAATTGGTTCTCAATAATTGAACGCATTAATTTGTGAATATCGCAAATAATCTGACAGTTTCTGTAAAAGAATACCAAGTAATTTATAACTATTTTTTAATAAATACGACGAAATGACATTATAAATGAATTTTTGATATAACTTAATATTAACGATTAATATTACAATAATCATCTTAAATAATAATTTTCTCTTATAAGTTAAAACAAATATAATAATAAATACAAGGCAAAAATTTATAATAATTGTAATAATAATAATCATCATGATTATTTTCTATATATTAAGAATTTTTATATCAAAAAGTAACATTAATTGTTAATTTCAATTAATTTTTCAAAAAAATAATTATTGTCTTTATATATTAATATTTAATTATGATGCGAGACTGATCGATGTTAAACAGATAACAATTTATTTACATAAAAATATATTGTAGTATAGATCAGGATTATTTTATTACCATATGTATGTATACACATACGTAAGGATATTTTTTCCACTTGTTTAGTGTGAATATGTAGCAATTTTAAATATTTTTTTTTTTTTTTTTTTTTATAATAAATAAATATAACCTGATCGAGACTGCCATACATTACCTTCTTACATTTATACATTTGTACAGAAATATCGATATAAGAATTTATGGGTTAAAAATGACCCAATTTTCCCACCATCCCTTAAGAGAATATTTTTTTTTTCTCTTATTGAATAATTATTTATGTTACAAGTTTATTTAGTATCAGTCACACAACACAAAATAGATTTTAAGAATTGTATATGCATTTTTTTATCACGGTGCATTTCATCATTGTAATGTACATCATTAATTGATATTTATAAAAAAAAAAGTAATAATAATAATCATGTAATGTTTATGGTAAAACAACTCAACGTTTTAACTTGTTCAAATAAAACCATTTTTACTATTTTACACTTTTATTTTTTTATTTTTCAATATAGTTCAGCATTAATTATAAAAATATTTATATTATCTTACCTGTATTAGCGCTATTTAGCCATAATTACTTTATAATAATTGTCAATTATTGATAAATAGACAATTAGTTAATTTTTCCAAGTCAAAAGTTAGTTGTTTTGCCATTAATATACTGGAGATTTTGATTTATTTGTAATTGAAAAGTAAAACTATGTAAGAGCAGAGTAATTATTGTAATTTTAAAAAAAATTATATATTTTTAATCATTGACCGAAATTGTAAGATTTGAAAACCTTATAAAGTTTCATCACTATTATTATTTTATTAATTACAACTATTTTTATTATTAATATTATGATTAATTTTAGTTTTTAAAATTCAAATAGAAGAAATATTTTACTGTGTGAAAATAGCCAGAGAGATAATTCAAGCATAATAATTTCTCTCATTATTTTTTATTGTAATAAAAAAAAATTTTAATTATACAATTAATGCACAGTAACAGTAATAAGTAGTATTATGTATTACTCCATTTATTAAAGATTAATTAAAATTATTTAAAATAAAAATAGTATAATTTTTTTATTTTCACTCCAAAAACTAGTAATATGTTCTTAGATAATTATTATTTTTAAATCTATAAATATAAGTAGAGACATCTATAATTTTATCTAAAATTTAACAATTAATTTATTTTAAGGTTAACAATATTTACCTATCTAGTACATATCTAGTTTCAACAGTTTAAGAATGAAATTAATTGCCCTTTATGACGTAAATATTATGATTTTTTAGCATGATCTTTTATGTTATAAGTTGTTCTTTAAATTTATTATAAAATGAATATTAAAAATATTAGTAACTTACGATTGATAACATTCGATGTAACTAATACATTGCTGAATACATCAGTAAAAAAACACTATGCTGACATAAGTTTAAAACACGACGTTTCACTAAATCCCGATAAATTAGAACCGAGTTTCAAAAAATATTTCAAACATTGGTGTCATGAGCATCCTAATTATGGAAAAGATACTGGAATTGGTTGGGAAAGTTGGTGGAAAAATCTTATTTGGAGTGTATTTAAAGATCAAAATATTAAAATTTCTGATGAAAAAATAGACAAGGTAATAATTGTGAGTCGTTAAATAATCAGTTTATTCAATAACATTTTTATAATTTTAGATATCAACAGATTTAATAAAATATTATAACACAAAAAGATGCTGGAAGTTATATCCTGGAGCGTTGGATATCCTCAAGTATTTAAACGATCGAAAAATAATTGTAGGAGTGATTTCAAACTTTGATCAACGTTTGGAGTCTATTTTAAGAAGCACTCAAATACGAGAATATTTTTCATTCATTCTTACATCTTACGATTTTGGCAAAGAAAAGCCGGATATTTCAATATTCAATGAAGCTTTGAAAATTTCCGAAAAATTTTATCGTCATAAAATATCTCCTGAAGAATCTCTACATATCGGTGATAATATAAAAATTGATTACAACGGGGCTAAAAATGCTGGGTGGAATGCATATTTAATTAATCATCATCATGAAGTAAATCCGATTTCGCCAATGCTGGATTATCAAAGTTTTAATGATCTTTTTGAATTAAAAAATCATTTTAAAATTATCTTGGATCAAACTTGAATTATAATTATACGTACATAAATTATAATTTAAATGAAAATTTTCTCATTATTAAAAATAAAAAAATCCATAAGAGTGTAAGTATCTAGTATGTAAAAAATATATAATTTAATCAACAAATTTAAAATATGTATACAATATATTTGTTAACTTATTAAATACGGTACTGTAAAATTCAACAGTAATGTCTTTATAGAAGAAAAAAAAAAAATCATGGATCGACTGAAAGATAATAGTGTGTACTGTCAGGATGAGTGGGTAGAATATCTACAAACATTTCCGTATGATATTTTATATCCGTTTCCTTATCATAATTATAATTTTAAAAAGTAATTGCAGTAAGCTATTCATGTTCAGAAATTTTTTATGGCTCAGTAATATACAAAAATAGAAATAAGAAACGTCCAGAGTAACAACTTAGAGCACCTACAGTTTTGGTGAATAGCGGCTTGATTTTACTGCAAAGGGCTGTACTAAATAAAATCTCTGTGTAGAGTCGTACAGTTGAATTATACCAACTAAACTCCTCTAAGCACAGAGAAATAAAACGAATGTATGAGTAAGAAGGAGATAAGAGAAAGTGAGATGAACGAGAGCTCGCAGACCTCTCGCTTTAAGTTCATTCTTTAGGTTCGTGCTCACAATCCCTCGGCTGTACGCGCTACGCCTTCAGTTTCTGTCAGAATTAATACCAAGTTTTTAAATAGTTTATGCATTACATATGTATTTAAATTTAGTTGAAAATATATATTTGGTTTTTTTTTTTTTCTTCAAGTTATATACCTCAGTGATGTTTTAATTACTTAATCATCTCTCAAAGTTGCATTGTCTTATACAGTTTTCTTACTTTCTAAGAATCTAAGATTTTTATTCTCAGTGTAAGCATTTTTTAACCAATGGAATTTTTACAACATAAGTATTGAATTTATAAAAAGTGATTATCAACTCATTTTCTTAAACGTGTTTTTAAAATAATAATATTTAGTGAAAATTAATCCTTATTGTAGAGGAGTAACTTATACCGTTAAAATTTTAGTTGTTTATATATACATTATTATATATAGAGTTTATACTAACATATATATAAAATTTAGTATTTACTTAAAAAATTCACTTTTTGCTAACTTCAATAATTTTTAGTCTTTCTAAAAATTAAAATCAAAACTTAATTTTAAAAAGCTTGAATTTAATTTAATAAAAAAAAAAAACTTTTTTTTCTTTTTTAGATATATTTACGTTTACAGATAAACCAAAATCATTTTAATGGATCGTAAACGATAAACAGACTATCTGTTACTTGGAATTAAAACATATAGGGAAGAAAAGCAAAAGCGTGGGAGCATAAGTTCAGTAATTTAGAATCAGTGAGAATCAGTGAGATATTATATCCGCTACTGAGTAGTTGGACAAAATTGTTATTTTTTTTTTTTAAGTTAATATAAAATAATATTATTTTATATTTAAATGAAAAATTTATAATAGTATTCGTAGAAGAATGAAGTTTCCTTCGTTATGGACAAGTTTTATAACTGTTATTTGCATATTTGTGGGAATTCTTGGTGATCCAGGTCCTGCTGAAGATTTTTATCACCGGACTCCATTTAACCGCGATGAAATAAAGTGTTACGATGATTTTGGAAAAGCTCAGGTAATTTAAAAATGATTAATTTTAAAATTTTATGAAAATAAGTATTATAAATATTATATTGCTATTAAATAATTTCACCTAAATTTTTTATTGATAATTTTTGTGTAATCTTTCGAATACTTATCGTCAGTTTTTGAATCAATCTTTTCTTCCTCTTCTTCTTTTATTAATTCATTCCTATATGGTAAATGAGGGGTTATCATTTGCTTCGTGAATCGCTTAAACTCTCTCTAAGATAAGCGGAAATGAATGATATAAAATTGATAATACTATACATTCATAAGCTTTCATAAGACAAGTTTTATCCAATTTTTGATTCTGCAGTTCCCTCTTTAAAAAAAATCTTCATTAACTAAAATGATAGTTATCAGTATATTTAAATGACTAATGTATAAATTTATCTTAAATTGTTTACCGTAATTTTCAGTAATAAAAAATTATGTTATTTTAATTTTTATTGATATTGAATATAAAAAAATTATTTAATAAAATTAATTTCAGAGATGTATTCCACCTTTTGAAAATGCGGCTTTTAATATTTTAATGGAAGCAACAAACACGTGTGGTCAAGAAAGTAGACCTACGGAGTTTTGTAAGCAAACAGGAGTACATAAAAAGTCCTGTGAAATTTGTCGATGGGGTGATCATCCAGCAGCTTATCTTACTGATCATGATAATAATGATAATGCTACGTGGTGGCAATCAGAAACTATGTATGAAGGAATCGAATATCCTAATCAAGTTAATTTGACTTTAAAACTTGGTATGTTATCAAAATCAAAAACTGTTTTTTTTTTTTTTTTTTTTTTTTAAATGAAGCTCATGTATGATACTATTTTAATTTTTATCAACATAAAATGAATATAATTTTACTCTATCACAACTAGTCTTAGATAAAAAAAAAAAAACGTCATACCTACGGGGACCTTTCATTCTAGAGGTCTTTGATTTCATCCATCTGCCGACCATATGTTTTTTTTTTTCTCTCTTAAAAACAATCTTATGTAAAATAGATTGTAATGCAGCAATAGCGTAGAATTTATTTTTTTTTCTAACTGCTGTAATTTTTTAGGTAAAACTTTTGACATCATATACATACGGGTATTATTTGAATCACCAAGACCGGAGAGTTGGGGAATCTATAGAAGAAAAAATGATAAATCAGATTGGGAACCATATCAATTTTACTCAGCAACTTGTAGAGATACTTACGGCCTTCCTGATGTCAAAGAAACTATTCGAGGAGAAGATACTCGAGTTCTATGTAATTCTGAATATTCAGATATCTCTCCATTAACTAAAGGAACTGTTGCTTTTTCAACTTTGGAAGGAAGACCCTCAGCTTATCAGTTTGATACCAATGCAGCACTTCAAGTATATATTAATAATATATTTTTTATTTAAATAATCCATCTGCAAAAATTAAATAGATTTTTTTTTTTTCTTTAGGAATGGGTACAAGCAACCGACCTCAGGATAACACTTGATCGTTTAAATACTTTTGGAGATGAAGTGTTTGGTGATGATCAAGTACTTAAATCTTATTATTATGCAATCACTGATATCGCTGTAGGCGCTCGTTGTGCTTGTAATGGCCATGCTGGAGAATGTATTAATTCTAGTAGTGCTGATGGATCAACGAGTCGCAGAATTTGTCGGTATGATCAATAAATTTTTATTGTTTTAAATTATAAATCAATTTTTAAATATAATTTTTATATAAACACGTTAATTAATAATTAAAACTATTATCACAATAGATGCGAACACAATACAGCAGGTCCAGATTGTAACGAGTGCCTACCATTTTATAACGACGCTCCTTGGGGACGTGCAACACTGAATGACGCTCACGAATGTAAAGGTGAGTTAAAAGTTATATGATGGTTACTTTGTTAAAAGGATGAGTTTAAAGAAAGCATGAGTGTGTATCCAAGATTGTCGGGGCACTTTTTACGACGCTCCTTATAAAGTATATTGAGTACCAGCTTTTCCATATAAGTCAGCAACGATAATTCCATAGCAAAAGACGTGTATCATTTATTGTGAGAGTACAATTTTCAGTTTACTCTTCGATTTATAGATAATTAACCCTTAATTTTTAAATAATCTACATAAAATTGTGCAAAATAAAAATGCGGTGCTCATTTTTTATAATTGCATTATTCAATTTTGTTTGGATAAATCCTAATTTGGCTTATTGGAGCCGAATGTCTGCTCGTTATTTTAAACCTACTCGTGAGTTTTAAATATAAAAATCTATAGCGAAGTTTAATTGATTTTTCAATTTAATAATTTTTTTTTTTTAAATATGTGAAATAAAAAAAAAAAAAAATACTAATATTGACAATATATTTTTTCAGCTTGCAATTGTAATGGATATTCAGACAAATGTTATTTTGACAAGGACCTTTACGCACAAACTGGTCATGGAGGACATTGTATTGAATGTAAAGCTAACCGTGCTGGACCTAATTGTGAAAAATGTAAAGAAAATTATTATCAACGTGCTGAAGACGGCTATTGCGTAGCTTGTAACTGTAATGACATAGGTAATTAATTACTTTTTTTTTTTTTTTATATATTAAACTACTTATATGATTTAAATGGCATGTAATAAAAAAAACTTTTTAAACAACTTCAAACAGGATCAAGAAGTCTTCAATGTAACAGCGAGGGTAAATGTCAATGTAAACCAGGAATTACTGGTGATAAATGTGATCGCTGTTCTCCAAACTTTTATAATTTTGATTCAATTGGATGTACTTCTTGCGACTGCAGTGAAAAAGGATCATTGGATAATGAACCAAGTTGTGATTCTATTTCTGGTGCTTGTTCTTGTAAGGAAAACGTTGAGGGTAAACGCTGTAGAGAGTAAGTATTATATTGAGTCGATATTAAGTAAATAATATTTTTATAAAAATTAATTATATGATTAAAATTAATCTCAGGTGTCGTCCAGGATTTTTCAATTTGGCTTTAGAGAATGAATTTGGTTGTACTCCTTGTTTCTGTTACGGACATTCATCAATTTGTCGACCAGCTAATGGTTATTCAAAAGTTGTTATTGAAAGTATGTTCGTACGAGGTAATGAGCGATGGTCGGCAAACGTTGTCGGTAATAATATTTCTTTGCATTATGACGCTGTTACGCAAACGATATCAGTAGCGGCTCCAGATCGTGACAATGTTTATTTTGTTGCGCCTGATAGATTTTTAGCAGATCAACGAGCCTCTTACAATCAATATTTATACTTTAATTTAAGGATTGGCGAAACAGATCCTACACCAACAGCTCGCGATATTATATTAGAAGGAGGCAATGGTGAACAAATAACCCAACCAATATTTGGTCAAAATAATCGTTTACCTACAGTCACTCCTCAAGTTTATAAATTTAAACTTCATGAACACGCCAATTACGGTTGGCAACCACGTCTGTCAGCTCGTGCTTTTATGTCAATTTTATCAAATCTTACATCAATAAAAATTCGTGGAACTTATACCCATCAAGGTCGAGGATTTTTAGATGATGTTGGTCTTGAAACAGCACAACGAGGAGCAGCGGGTGAACCTGCTGATTGGGTTGAACATTGCCAGTGCCCACATGGTTATGTAGGACAATTTTGTGAGTCTTGTGCTCCCGGTTTTCATCATGATCCACCTAGTGGTGGCCCATTTGCTCATTGTGTTCCTTGTAATTGCAATGGGCATGCTGATATTTGTGAAGCAGAAACTGGACAATGTATTTGTCAGCATAATACCGCAGGAAGCAATTGTGAGTTATGCGCTCGAGGATTTTACGGATATCCATTGAAAGGAACACCAGATGATTGTCAAGCATGTCCATGTCCTGACAATGGACCATGTATTCTTTTGGGTAATAATCCTTATCCTATTTGTTCAGAATGTCCAATAGGTCGTACAGGTGCTAGATGTGAAACTTGCTCTGATGGTTATTTCGGTAATCCTGATAAAGGAATATCATGTCGTCTTTGCGAATGTAATAACAATATTGATTTAAACGCTGTAAGAAATTGTAATCAAGAAACGGGAGAGTGTCTGAAATGTGTAAATAATACTGCTGGTTTTCATTGTGAAGACTGTCTTCCTGGATACTGGGGTGACGCATTATCGGATAAAAAGGAAGATAGTTGTAAGCTATGTCAATGTTATCCACCTGGAACATTAGAAACAGACGTTGGAGGTATCGAGCCCTGTAATCAGCTAACAGGTTATTGTTCATGTAAGCCGCATGTTACAGGAAAAAATTGTGATAAATGTGAAGATGGATATTATGATATTTTAAGCGGAGAAGGATGTACGGCATGTAATTGTGATCCTGAAGGATCATATAATCGAACATGCGACGCTCTTACTGGACAATGTCAATGTAGGCCCGGAGTAACTGGAAAACGTTGTGATGCTTGTCAGCCCTATCAGTATGGATTTGGTCGTGAAGGCTGTAAACTATGTGATTGTGATCATATTGGATCACAAGATTTACAGTGTGATGCCTACGGACAGTGTCCATGTTTAACAAATGTTGAGGGAAGACGTTGCGATCGTTGTAAAGAAAATAAATATAATAGACAGTATGGATGTATTGATTGTCCACCGTGTTATAATCTTATTCAAGATGCTGTTAATTTACATCGAAGCCGTTTAGCGGACCTTGAAAATACTTTAAAAAAAATTAATAGCAGTCCAACTGTCATAAAAGATTCAGATTTTGAAAAAGAATTAAATAATGTTGAAAATCGAGTAAGACAACTTTTACAAATGGCTAAAACTGGATCTGGAAGTGAAAATAAAACATTAGTTGAACAGCTTGATGATTTACGTGATCAATTAAATCAAATAGAAAAAATTTCGCAGAGTGTTGATGTTACGGCTCAAGATGCTAAACGTAAAACTAATGAAGGTCTTACGAGTATTGAAGAAGCTGAAAGTGTATTAGATAAAATTCATGAACAGCTAACCGAAGCTGAAGATTATTTAGCAACTGATGGAGCAACAGCTTTATCTGATGCTAAAAAACGTGCTGAACAAGTTGGTCAGCAAAATCAACAAATGACTGAAATAGCACAAGAAGCTCGTATTTTAGCTGACTTAAATATTAAAGAAGCTAAAAAAATACATTTGTTATCTGAACAAGCTAAAAATACATCATTGGAAGCTTATAATTTAGCTAAAAAAACGATAACTAAATATTCAAATATAAGTGAAGAAATTCGAGAATTAGAAAATAAATTAGAATTACTCACGGATCGATTTAATGAAGTTAAAAATTTAACTTCCACTGCTATTGCTAAATCTATAGCAGTTGAAGATGAAGCACTTCATTTATTAATTCTTGATCTTACTGTTCCGTCTATAGATATACAAAAATTACAAAATCAAGTCGAGAGTGTTAATAATGATGGATTAAGTATCAAAGAACGTGCACAATTATTATTAGAAGAAAATGAACAAATATTGAAAGATTTAAATGAAAAAATAAAAAAAAGTGAGATATTGTTAGACAAAGCGCAAGATCAACAAGCTGCTACTGCGGAATTGTTGTCAGATGTTGATAAAGCTAATGAAAAAGCTAAAGATGCATTGAAAAGAGGTAATGAAACGTTAGTTGAAGCTAAAGAAACACTTAAAAAACTTGGTGAGTTTGATGCTGAAGTTCAACGAGAGAAAATGAAAGCCCAAGAAGCTTTGAAAAATATCGATGAAATTACTATTATGGTTAATGAAGCTATTGAAAAAGCTGATGAAACTCAAATTATTTTAAATGGCGCGGAAAATAATGCAGCTGGCGCTTGGAATATTACAGCAGAAGCTCAAAGAAATGCTGATGATGCCGGTGAAAATGCCCAAAGAATAAGAACAGAAGCCAATAGAACAAAATCAGAAGCTTGGCGTTTAAGCAATGAAGCTGATAAACTTCATACTCGGGTAGAAATAACTGATTCAATTGCCAAGAAATATGAAATACGTGTTGGTAATGATGTTAATCTTACTAATGATGTTAATCATCAAGTTGGACAAGCACGAAACCGAGTGGTTCTTGCGACTCAAAAAGTTGACAAAGCTCTAACAGAAGTTTCTGAAATAATTAATGAATTGGAAAATCTTCCGGAAATAGATGATGCTGATTTAGATCGTCTTGAAGAGCGTTTGATTGCCGCGGAAAAAGAAATTAGAGCTACTAATTTAGATGAAAGAATTCGTGCATTAACAGATGCTAAAAATTTACAAACCCAGTGGGTTAAAAATTACGAAGACGAAGTTAATCGTTTACGCATTGAAGTTGAAAATATTGATGATATTCGGAAATCATTACCAACTTCTTGCTACAAACGGGTTCGTCTTGAACCATAATTACATAAAAGTGCCCTATTGTGCCATTAATTACTTAATTTTATTTAATAACATGACTGCCTTGATGTTAAAAAAATAAAAATGAGTAACAATCGATAACAAATTGAGCTTAATATAAAACTATTTTTAATCACGAAATTTTTTTTTAAAAAACTGTTGAAAGTTAAATAATTAAAAAAAAAAATAATAGATTTTGTAGAAAAAAAAAAAAGTAGAAGAAAAAAATTTTTAAATGCAGAAAAAAAGAAAAATTTCTTCGTGTTTCAGAAATATGCTATAAAAGCGATGCCAAAGACTTTTATAATAATGGAAGCACTTTGAATGTTACTAATAATCCCATACACAAACACATTATTTACTCACAATAAAACATATAAAAATAATTCACCTATTTTATAAATATTATATCCATATAATAATTAATTTCAATGATCATTATGCCTTCTTGTAGATACATTAGATAAATTCTATCGTCAGTAATACTTTTTTCATTTTTTCATACTTTTAAATAATATACCGTGCTATATTTTCTAAGTTTTTTTTTTTTTTTTTTTTTTTTTTTTAGAAATAGAATAGTAAAATCCATTTTTTATAAATTTAGTTAAGAAAATTATAAATCTATGTATAATGAAAAAGTATATTAAATATATGATTAAAAAAAAATCTATTTGTATTTTTTACAATATTACCATCATAGGATGAAATTTAAAGGTAAAATAGCTAAAATCTTAATTTCAGCTAAAGATTGAAGCGAGATAGGTTCAAATGAATTAATTAGAGATGTTTATTCTGAATATATGATTTAAACCCGATAATCATAATTATTATTTAGTTATATTCACTTGATTATAAATAAAATAATCAGTAACACCAAAATAGCAGTCAATACTCCAATTGCGACCCATTGTCTCCGATCTAAAACAAACGGAAAGTAATGTCGCATACGTATTATTTTTTATATTCTAATTAATTTTATTTTATTATTTTATCATTATGAATATATATCCAAAAATTTCTGTATTCTTCTTATATTTTTTTTTTTTTTTTTTTTATCTAATGGTTAGCTAATTAAACATGTACGCTATTATGATCTGATATTTCAGTTTTATATGAAGTACATAAATAATAATACAAATAACCTTTATTTTACTGCAGTAAAATATTTTTTTTCCTTAAATTAACTAAAATTTTTCTATCAAGTAATTGTATTCTGCTACTACTTTACGTCAATAAACGTAATTATTCAATAAATAAATATTATATTTTCAATTTCTTCAAGTTGATTACACATTTATATTTGATCACACAGTAAACATAAAATTTTTATACGGATCATGTATATATTTAATACTTAAATCCATCTATGTAATAAATTTACTGTTTAGTTGGAGGACAGTGAGATCTTTTTGGTTATTAATTATTATCTACAAACAACAAATTTCTTATCAATTACCACCAATAACAATAATTTTTATATTTATATCATTTTTCTATATATACTCACTATTATTATTTATTTATTTTATTTTCCGTCTAAATGTATTTTACATTAGTTTATTAAAAGAATTTTATACTGATTTCTATGCGTACTCACATATTGTGGAGCAAAGGAAAAAATTATTTTATTTATTATAATCTGATTGATTTTTTAAATTAATATTATCATTTTTAAATCATTTAAACTTTACATGCTTTTCACTAATACTTATACAATAAGAGAAACCCATGAAGTCCAGTATAAATATTATCATTTTTAAATCATTTAAACTTTACATGCTTTTCACTAATACTTATACAATAAGAGAAACCCATGAAGTCCAGTATAATTTTCTTTCAATTTTAGCTATCATCTTTTAACTTTGTTTTTCAATTAACTAAATGAATAATTTTCTAGACACTAATAAAATTTTTACTATTTTTTTTATTAATATATACTGTATGTATATAGATAAATATATTTTACTAAAATCAAACTTGCTATATACTGTATTTCTGTAACATTTTGGCAATAATTTATTTTTGGCATTGTAGTTGAAAAATAAGTGTAATCTATTGCGTTGATACATTTTTTTTTTTTTTTTTTTTTTTTTTTTCAGTTAATTTTATAATTATATGATAAAATCTATTGAAAAAATTAATTACAACTCAATCTAAACAAGTGTAAGCAAAATGTGATTAATTAAACTATCAAGAATAACTTGAAAGTAGAAATTAATGATTAATTTTTCATTTAAACTGACTCTTTAAGTTTAACATGTTAAATTAGAAGAAAAAGTAATTTAACTGGCGGACTACCTATTATTTTCAACGACGATTATTTCTGATTGCACTAACTGTTATGAGAATATTTTGTAAATTATTGATATCTTTTACTAAAAATAATTTTAATTAATATGATTATTAAATCAGAACTGAAAATAAAATTATTTTCATAAAAAACCGATTAATTTACTTCTTACTCGGCTGCACATAGAAAACAATTCGTTATTGTAGTAGAAAACGTGGATAAGGATGTTGTTTTAGGAGATATTGATGCAGTTGTAGGAGCAGGAATGTAATTACTATAGTTACCATTACTCATGTGAAGAACCTTGGCCATTTTTTTCATTGTAGCATCCAATTTGGAGTCTGTCACTTCCATTTCATTACCAAAATCATCTAGCATACTACAATTATTAAATCAAATTCATTCAAAAAAAATACATAAAATCAGGAGTTTTTTTTTTTTACGATACTGAAGTTAACAGACATCTGATATTAAAAAAAAATTTTTTAATAAATAAATAAAACACAGTTAAAAAAAATTTCCATCATGAGTAATAATTTTGAAAAACTATGAATGCAATTTTTTAAAAATATCTTGTTAGTACTTACTAAATTATTTCTTAAAAATATAGCTAAGAAAATTTCAAATACCGGTTGACTTCTGTATTATAATTTTTTTAAGATATAATAAATAAAATACTTACACAGCTTGTTCATCTAATTCAGAATTAATTTGTCTTGATACAGTTTTCAAAGTTCCAATACTTTCACCGATCAAATCTAATTGACCATCTTGTTGTCTAATCATTTGCCCTTGCTGCTGTAGAGTATCTTCCAGGAATTGTCGACTAGGACTATCAAGTTCATTTTCTAATTTACTATATTTTGTAGTTCCATGATTAACTGGAGCGCGAGCTGGACTATTGTCCAGCAGCGGCTAAAAAAAAAATAACAAAAAAAAAATTGTTATTTATAATTAAATTATCAACAAGTTAATAACTAAGTTATAATTATTAATAAGTATTAAAAATTGAATTGTAACGCAAAAATTAAATGATACTGAAAAGTCATCTGACAATCTTTAGAGTTTTTTTAACAAATAAATTATTGTAAAAAAAGTGTTTTTTTTTTTTTTTTTCTACAAGTAAAAATTAAATTGAAAAAAACACCGATGAAATGTTTTAAAAATATTTTCTTAGCACTAACTTATTTGTCAAATAAAACTCAAAAACAAATTATATTGTATACTGATATCAGTATCATAAAATTTATAATAAATAGTAACTGTACAACCATTATTATAATTCACAAAAAAAATATTTGTCTGTATCAATCTTGAATTTTCTGATAACTTGATTAAAAATTTACAACACACTTATGTGTAGAGTTTGTTATTGAACTTTAATTCGTTATAAGTCATGATATGTATAGGACAAAACATATATAGGTATAAAATAAGTATGTGTTGTCAAGTTGAAACTATTGTCATAGGTGGCGCGAATTTATGTTGACATTCATCTTTCCGTATACAAAATAATTATTCCACTTACCAACATCTATGAGTATGAATAATAATTTATTATATTTATGTGAATAATTAAGATTACTCACCTGTCTCGCAGTTCTGTCACGATCTCTTCCACGGCTGAGATTCATTTTATCTTTCATGATCTACATTTATTTAAAATGAAATACATAATTTTATTAAAATACACATAATTATTTTTGTAAAAAATATACATGTCATAATAAACATTCACCTTGACCTCGTCTCGTGTATGATCAATGAAAGCTCTTCGAAAATTTAGTTCCTTGTTATCAATTTTAAACTTATTTGGATTCTTTTCCACAATACGTGATAGTTAATTGTCAAGGAAAAATTAATTGTTTATTCAATAATTACAAACTATAAGAAGAAAACAAATTTAAAATTTTACTTTTTAAATTAATTATATAGTATAGGAGTAAATAACCCTTTTTTCAATTCTTAAATCAATAAAATGATTATAATACTGAAGCGAATAGACATTTGAAAACTTGTAGAATTTTTTTGATTAATTAAAGTATTTTTAAAACTACTTAAATAGAAATATTTGGATGCTATAAATGCAATTTAAGAAAAAAATATTTTCTAGTAAAAAAAAGAAAAGGAAAAAAATTCTCTAGTCAGTTGATTTTAGTTTAATAAATGTCTTATTTTTCTAAAAAATAAAATTATTGTAAAATATCTATTCGTAACTAATGCCAGTAGCACAAGTAATTTTATTTCAGAAAGGATATCAATTGTGTCTTCCAAATCTTCAAGATCCCATTCAATAGACCTCAAAGCGTTTCTTAACTCTGTGGTCGTCCACTCCAATTCTTCTTTAGAAACCGGAAGTCCTCCAGGGCCTACTCCATTTGGTGTTACGACGGTGACATTTGACTGAGAGTCGGTCCAGCGACCATACAAACCACGAGTTTTGTTTAGAGCTTTACATACCTCGCTGAAGTTGGTAAAAATTATTGATTTGATGATTAATATTGCTGAACTTTATTAAACTGTTATCAATTTTTCATTACAAATATAAATTCGTGACAGTTTCATTTAAAATCAGAATAATGTTTTTACTTTCTTTTAGAGACGTGCAACAACAAGGAAATACAAATCTATTAACAATTAGTAGGAAATTTTTGTTACGTATGTGTATGTATAGAATTGATAATTTTTTGATTTTTTTAACAAATAAATTGTTATTATTTATTTATTATTAATTTATTTATTAAATAAAACCAAAAAATTATCAGATCTCTAGTAGTTTCAGTATTATATATTATAGTAAATAATTGAGCTTGATATAAAAAAGCTGAGATAAGATAGAAATGATGTACAATTATTTTTTATAATTTATGTAGAAAAAAATATTGTCACAATAAAACCCGGTCATTACTTTCCGCGAACAGTGTGGGTATTTGACCGATCACATTGTTAAGAATGACAGAAAGGTTTAGGATGATAACTTATATACATGTAGCTCAGGATGATTACTGATGAGGCTGTATCAATCTGCAGGCTCCTTCATAATGAAAAAAAAAAAATAGAGAGTGGAGTTGCAAAAAGAATGTATGAAAATGGTAAATATTGAAAAATTGGTGCAAATAAATAAAAATTTTTTTTTCAATGTTTCAGGACTATTGTATGAATATGAGAAATAATTTGGTGTGCAAAATTTATCATGAAAAATTATTTGAAGCACTTACTCTTTGACGACAAAGAATGGGTCTTCAAGCGTCATTCCTCACGAAAATTTAAAAAACCGGCCTGCTTTGCCGTCTTACGTCTCTAACAGAGATCTTACGTATTTGTAATTTATCAATCATCGGTAGATTTCAACAAATTTTATAAAAAAAAAAAAAAATTTTTTTTTTTTTTTTTTTTTTTTTTTTTTAGATATTAACAATGAACAGTATTTATCAAGGGTTGATTCAGATACAATTCAAGAATTATATAATTTGAATAAAATAACAAAAAATTAACAATTACATGAATTATAACAAGCGTTTTGCATTTGTATAAACGAAAAAATATTTTTTCGATTTCAAGTAATAAATATGACGTCTGTACGACGTCCGCGACTGCAGATGGCTATTTTATTCGATTTTGACGTTTGCGCAAAAGCACTTCACTTAGGAAAGCACACACCAACATCTATTGATTCTACCGTCATAAGACCGACATAGAAAAGAGTAAGATACATTGTGATATAAACTGAAACAAAGGAATTAAAAAAAAATTGCATGAAAACTGAATTCAAATTGTACTACAGCGCTGTTAAAGCTGAAAAAATGATGACTTTAATTTAAAAATCTGATAATTGAGATCTAAAATATGAATGTATACTCTTGTTTTAATTTTTAAAGTTTACAGACTTCAAATTTAGGATTGTTTTTCATCCGACGTAGATGTGTGTTAAAAAAGCGGCTGATTAAAATCAACTTGTAAGGAATTGTCGAGGTATGAAATCGGGTTTACTTATTTTCTAGTTTAATTGAATCATCATCAAGTATCATGCAATTGAAGTATCAACAAAATTTTATTTATTATGAGTAAATGTTTATCTTAGCGTTAATATAACTCTTTAAAAATTAATTTATCTATTAGAAAACATGTTTAATTAAACACCAGTTTTTTCATTCGGGGAATGCAATAGATGAAAAAAACTTTGAAAATGTTCTTAAAAAACTGCATTCATTGTGTTTTAAAATAGTTTTTCCTTATTTTATAGCTATTATTTGTTTATATTATACTCACTGTCTAGATTGTAATGATAGCTCTTAGTGAACACTTGTTTTAGGGCCGCTTAATTTAATAAATAAATAAAATTTCTTCATGTAGAGTATTTAAATTTTTTTTTTACAATAATTTAGTTGCTAAAAAAATTCTCGAAAATTGTCAGAAGTTTGTTAATTTCATCAATAATCATACCGATAAATTTTATTGAACATATGCATCCTTGGATATCAAGATTGCCAGAAAGATAGTATTTAAATTTTTTGAATTACGCGCTTTTTTGGTTTTTCCAGTGTAGTGACACGAGTGTAGAGTTTTTGAACTTGTTTTTGACGTTGAAGCGATCACTTTCTATAGTAAGTTCCCGATGTACGGGGAGAATGGCCATTTGCAACTTGTGTCCCGTTTAGTCTTTACTGTAATAACTTATACACAATTTCACATAAACTTTTATTTCTCGTTGTTCTTACTTCATTTTGGCTTTCTCTACAACTCCAGTTCGACCATCATCCCATTTTACTCTTGGGGACATTGAGGCTAAGCGACGCTTTGTAATCAATAATCTTATATTCAGGTAATTTATTAATTTTTATAATTAATTTTACGAAAATATATATATATATATATATATTATTAATTTATTAATTCTAATTGTCAAAGTGAAAATAATTTATAGCTTTTGTAACACCGGCATTATTTAGAGTTAAAATGATTCTAAACTTGGTACAAAAATTATTATTTATTTTATTTATTGATTATTTTCAGTTTTAGGATAAAAATGTCTTACAATCGTGGAATTAAACGTAATTCCTCAGGGAATCGTAATTTTAATCGTAACGCTGGAGGAATCGGCATGGGGGTTGGCAGTACTCAGAGCCGTGGATTAAATCCTTGGGAGAGTGGTGTAATGCCTGGTCGCGGAATTTTACCTACGCCGAGTAACAACAATCTCTCGTTAAATTCACCGCAAGCTCAACTAGTCATTGCAAGTAATCTTCTTAGTAATCTTCTGAGGACTCAACAAGATACTCAGCCTCAAGTAAATTTTTTACTCCAAGCTTATGATTACCAATTTATTTTACAATTGATAAATTCGTTTCAGCTTTTTGGCTGAATATCTAAAATATTAATTTATTTTTTATTAATGCAAGTAATTTTTTTTATCTCGAACAGGTTCCATCACTTCTGAGTTTAGGAACAGGTTTAAATGGACCTAATTCGAACTTCCGTAGCCCACAGAGCTTTTCAAACAATCGTTATAGTGATAGACAAGGGCGAGGAAATTTGAAAAGTCAACGTTCACAGCCATACAGCAATAAGGTATGAGGTTTTTTTTTTTTTAATTCATATTAATTTCCAGTCACATTGAAGAAACTTCATTGAGTTCCAATACATACATCTAACCAATTATCATCAAAACATTGGTCGATTATTCCATTAGAGTAATTTTTATTTTTTTAAATACTTATTAGAATGTTATAACATTCTCAAACACATTTCTCTATTGAATGAGCAATATTCTCATTATAAAGATCTTTTTTATCAAAGTACTTTATTATTAAGGGAGATCTAATCCCATTTATTTCTTCATGCCACACAAAATCGTTGCGATTATTTTTTTATATACATAAATATAAATGTATTTATAAAAGCTAATTAATATTGTACAAAGAAGCTTTTAAAATTATTAAATGATTTTAACTGGATAAAAGAATTAAAATCTTTAACCATAATAAAAAAAAAAAGGGAAGAAATTATTTTTCCGTAATTTGACGTTAATATTAACGTCGATCCCAAAAATTTTATCAACAAAAAATCTAAATATGTATTCTTTTGGGAACTGTTGTCCAAATATTATCATGGATACTTCCCCCTTGAATCCCTTAAAAGAAAAAATTTTATTAAATATAAATGATAAACTTCTGATGTTATAATTTCGGTGGTTGTTCCAACCACAACTTTAATTCGAATGACAAAAAAAAAATTGTCACCTTTCTGATGGCTTGACTTTTTGGTCATTATGGCCCTATCATTTAAATAGATGGGTAATCGTGCTCGCGACGCTGTCGCTAATCGACGTGGCCCATCATCCGCACAACATTCTCGTGCGCAGTCCAATCAACGTATCAATGGAAACCAAAATCAACATCGCAACGATAAATCTAAAGCTAATTCTGATTCGAAAAAAAACCAGACTGTCAAAAAGGAACAGCAGGATCCTAAGAGTGTTGATAATGAGAAAGCAGATACCCAGCCTAGTGCGAAAAGGTAAGAGTTTGCCATCGTTTCAACGGGCGATTTACGTTTCATTCATATTTTTATTCATTATTATTAAACCAAATATACAGCTGATAGTTTTTGTGTCGCAATTGTTTATATTGGTTATATATTCATCTATTGGCGATAAAACAATGCTATTTCTTCACGTATCTCACCCGATCTTTTATGATCTACGGATTCATTTATTCATTATTCATTTATCATTATCATTTTTAATTATAACTCATTAAAAATTCAAAGCCTACTGAAAAAAAAAAAAAATTTCAAACCGACACTCAGCTTACGATTGATGTTATAAATTATTTTTCATTAGTGAGGAAGATGAGACTGTCAAGATAAAAGAAGAAGAAGAAGAAGGAGATGGCGAGAAAGAACAAACTGAAACAACTTCAGTTGAAGTTACTGAAAATGATGACTCGAAGTCGAAAGATGAATCGGCTAAAAAATCAGAAAACGCTGCTAAAGGTTCACCATCAAAGAAGACGGAAGAATCAGCATCGACAGGAAAAAAATCAGAGGCTAGACATGCTGAAAGCCGATATGCATCAGTGCCAATCAGCCAAATGTTTTGTCATGTCTGCAATAAACACATGTGGGATGGATTTGTAAGTAAAATAATTAGTACATAAAAGAATCTAAAACAATTACTTAAATGTATTTATCAAAAAATTTTTATTACAGTCATTTGAAAATCACCTTCGAGGTCGAGCTCATCAACTTATGATGGAAAAACTCGATGAATCATACAAACTGAGAGTTGATTTTATGAGACATGAATTAAAAGTTTCCGAAGAACAACGGGAATTAAGTTTACATAATTCAAAACGTCGTGGAAAGAAGGTAAATAAATAAAAAGTAATTTCAGTATTGTGTTTAGTTGTCTATTCTGATACAACATTATCTTAATACTCATATTGAAATCAATGGCCGAAGCCATACTAATATTAGGTACATTGTACAATTTACAACACCAATTATTATTTCAATTATTAACATGGGTTTTTTAATCAAAATTATTGATAATTAATCTTCGATATTCAATTGTTTTGACAAACACTTATTTATTAATTGTGAAGTATTTAAATTTATATAAATTGATCACAAATGTGGTGATCACCAAATACGGCGAGATTACGTTCTAATCACTAATTTTCTGACGTAAATTTTTATTCAAAGTATAATTTAAAATTGATAATTACGTACTGAATATAAAATTAAATTAATAGATTTTTTTAAATCAAGTTGTTATGTTGTCTAGTCAATATTTGGTTCCGTTACCCTATTTGTTTTGATTTTAAAAGGTTTTAGAATATCAATACGATTTTTTTCCTCATTTTTTCAGGTTCCTGTTGACTTGAATGTTCGAGAGTACTGCACTATGTGTGATTTAAATTTCTATGGTACTCTTTCAACTCATAGAAAAAGTGAAAAACATCAACAATTGAAGATATTTTTACATCCTCGTTGTATTGCTTGTGCTAAAGAGTTTCCATCACGCATAGAGTATGATGAACATTGTTTGACACCAGGTCACATGGCAAATGCTGTTCAAATTGAAGAACAGAAAAAAACAAAAAAAAATAAACTGGCTAAAGGCGAGTCAGAAGTTCGTACAGGAGATGATGAAGATAAAGATTCTGGATCTGATCCTAAAGCCAACGATAATGATGATGAACTTCCGGAGAATACTGAATATATTACGGATATTAAAGAAGATATTGATTTGACAAAATATAAAATTCCTTCTTACAAACATTGCCGTCAAAATCAATTAGAAATGGGAGCTTCAATGATTAAACAAGTAGAAGGTTTTCATTGTGAAAAATGTAGGCGGTTTATGTTAACTGAAGAAGACATGAAGTCTCATTTGCGTACGGTGACTCATTACCGAAACTTTGTTGCCGAATTAAAAGCTTTAACTACTCCGGCAGCTGCTGAATCTAATGACGAAAAACCTGTGATTCAGGATGACGAAAACAAAGGTGACGAGTGTGAAAGAGAAAATAAACGACTAAAGTTAGACGACACTCTTGAATCAGAGATTAAAGATGAAGATGAGCCGATGAAAGAGGAAAATAGTTTAAAAGTTTCTCCTGAAAAAACAAAAGAAAAAGAAGAAAACAAAGAGAAAAACGATAGTGGTAATGAGAAGTATGATCCTATGGAAGCAGATGCAGAATCAGAGGAAGAAAGTATTAAACCCCAAACTGATGAAAAAGAAAAAGAAAAAGAAAAAGAAAAAGAAAAAGAACAAGGAGAAGAAAAGAAAGCAGTAGAGAAGAAAATACAAGAAGAGCAAAAGGAAAAAGAAAAGGAAAAGGATAAGGATAAGGATAAGGAAGGGAAAGAAAAAGAAAAAGAAAAAGAAAAAGAAAATACAAATGAAAATGACAAGTCAATGGAAGCGTGGGACGATGGTGATAATGAAGCTGAATTTGGATTCGGAAATTTACTTGGGGACGATAATGAAAATCCAGAAGAGCAACCTACAGTTCAGCAAAATACACCAGTTGAACAAAAGACGCCATCTACACCGCAGGTGCAGCCAATGAATAATAAACAATTATCGGTATCTCTCGCTGAAACTCCTGCAAAACTAAATAGTTCTATAGATAAAGGATCATCACCAAGAGGTCGGAACTACCGTGGAAGAGGTCATCAACGTGCGCGACGATCACGTCGATAATTTTTTTTCGATTTATTCTATTAATTTTTTCTATGACTATCGGTAAATTATATAACTAAAAAACAATGTTTTTTTATTTAAATAATAATCAGCTATTCAATTTTATTAAGTATTTATAATTAATAATTATAAATTTTTTCACATAATATAATTGAGCGTATAAAATTAAATCATGTATTGGAAATACCTTTTGAATTAATTAGCCTTTAATACAAAAAATTGTGTTTTTGTGTCATTCCAAGAAATAATAAAAATAAATACTCTTATTATTTTATTCTTATTTCTACAATATTTTTATGTCTAAATGTATTATATCATCTATTTATAACAAAGTGATAACATTTACAGGTGAACATAAATTTGTAGAGAAACATTCAATTACTTTGCAGTAAAAATTTTAATTTGTCTTATTTACAGAATAAAATTTGTTCGATTTTCAATAAAAACTACGTATACAAAGATATTTTTTATTGAAATAATTATTCTTAAGAAGAATAGAAGCAATCATCTGAATGAGATTTAGAACAATGTGTTCGACGTTCAATAAATGCTGCCATTCTTGCTGAAGGAATTGTCGCACCTTTTGTTATCTAAAGCCACAAGTTATAATTATTAATTTATAATAGTTATTGTTAATGACAAGTTATATTATAGCAATACATACTTTAAACCATGAAGATGTTAAACAAGTCTCAGCGACTCCTCTGTCTTCTCCTTTTAATGACAAAAGTTTCAAAAGAAGATCCTTGGCGTTATTTGATATCGATTCAAAATATTCATCAGGAAAGCAGAAATCACATTTTAATATATTTGCCGTTGTTTCTTCGACAGATTCGTCTAAGAAAGGTGAAAGGCCACTAAAAATTAAATACACACATACATTAAACTGTTTTTTCAATAGAATTTTTTTTTTTTTTTTTTTTTAATTTAATTTAAGTGAATTATTTACCTTAAAAGTACATAAATAAAAACACCTGTAGCCCATAAGTCGGTATAAAATCCCGTAGGTTTTCCAAGAACTAATTCTGGTGCTGCGAATTCTAAATCACCTGGTGGTACGACTTCTTCGACTGGGCCACGCACAGATTCACCAAGATCAATAAGCTTGACGATTCCAATATCTTGGTCAACAAGTACATTTTCAGGTTTAACATCTAAATGATATTTATTGCGCTGATGAAGCCACGACAAGGCTGACATCAATTGATGAGCATATTTACTTGCCATTGCTTCCGTATATTCAGTCTTCTTACTCAAATATGTAAACAATGTAGGACCACGAACTCTAAATACAAAAAAAAATAATTAAAAAAATTTTAATATCTATACTCAAAAAAGTAAATAAATAAATTATAAAATAATAATTACAATTCTAATACAATGGTATCTAATCCTGGCCGAGGTGCATTTTCAAAGAGTGCAAAAGCACGAATGATATTACCATGGTGCGTAGAAGCAAGTAAGTCGTACTCAGCCCTAGTTAGTAATCTTGATTGTTTGTGTCTGGGAGTTTGTTTAAGAGCCACTTCTTGACCAGTTCCTCTATCTCTTGCACGTCTTACAACGGCATACCGACCCTTGCCAAGTTCATCTAGCTCCAAATATCTTCCGACAAATTGTTCAACTTCCCAACTTATACTTTCATCTACTGGCAAGGTAATAACTGTTGATGGTGAAGTACCATTTTTACCACATTTATCTACAACTCTAAAGCTATAGGAAGCGCCAGGTGAAAGCTCGAGTATAACTGGGGGACTTTTAACATTTTCAACAATTGGCATCCACATTGTTGAAGGTATTGTTCGACATTCTAGAGTTCCTTGTTCAATATCACGTTTTTCCCAATCTATTTTAACTTTTGTTGGACTCATAATTTGGGCCCATGTAGCTCCATTTCCACCTAAAATAATAATATTTACGTTAAACAATTTAATTTTTTATTTATGTTATAAACTAGCTGACCAAAATTTCATAAAATTTGTATGTGACTGTTTCATTAAAAAATAAAATGTTTTTAAAATTGTACCAATTAAGTAAAAATGAGAGATAAACCTATCCTGTCTAAGTGACCATTATATTTTTTTTTAAATTATGGCCGTGGATATTAAATGTGAAATCAAATTTTAAAAGATGTGTCTAATATTCACACGCAGAAAAATTCTGATAAATCCACGCAGCGTGAATATCAGGGCCTTTACATTCACGCAGCGTAGATTTACCAGGACTTTTTTACGCATGAATATAGGACATGTCCAATTTTAAATTACAATTAAAGTAAGTCATAATTTTAAGTAAACAGTTTAAACAATGAAATGCTGTTCGTTGGTAAGCACATAACTTGACAATGGCGCTGGAACGATTGGACTAATTTTGTTTTTTTAATATTTTCGTGTGAGAATACAAATTGTTTTTATGAACAAAAAAATTCAAAAACTTGTCCGGAAAATAAAAAAATTCTGGAAAAACTTAGTTTCCTTATTTACGGAATTGTTCCATGAATTAATGATAATGACTAAGGATTTGAAGAATGGATATCCGTAATTCATTTTCTTTTTCAGGAATATTTTCAAAAATAAATAAGTTAGATATATTGTTTATAGCATCTAGTATAGTCAAAAGTGCATATAAAAATTAAGCAATTTTTCAACTTTTCTTTAAGAGTAAAATTTTTTTTTTAATTTATAAAAACATTTTCAAAACAGAAAATGAATTACTGATATCTATTTTTTATTCTTTAAATTCTTAATCATTATCATTGATTCATAGACAAATCCCGTTGAAGAGAAAATCAAGTTTTCCCACAGTTTTAAAATTTTTTTAATTACAAAAACATAATATTTGAACTCTTACGAATATATTTAAAAAAAATCAGTCCAATCAGTCCAGAGCTATTGTCATGCTATGCGGTTACCAACAAACAGAATTTCTTTTTTTTATTACATAGATTTACCTGTAACACTAAGATAGATTTTAGCAGAACACGATCCCATTTCTGATTGAATACTACATTGATAAAATCCAGCATCATCAATACGACAGCGAGCAATTTCTAAATAAATAAGACTGGGACTTAGATGAACTTGAAACCGATCATTTGGAACAATATCGGTGTTACTTTGTTCCTTCTTCCAAGTAACTTGGATACCCTCAGAGTTGATAACCTCGACGGACAGCCTGGCGATCTCACCAACAGAAACTTTTACTGGTGATGAAATACTCCCTGGAGTAATCTTCGGTGGAAATACTTTCCGTTCATTAATACTACGCTGGGGACTGACATGTTTTTCATTATCAAGTTTACGTGGACGGAACGACCAAGCACGACTAAAGGATGAGTTCGGAATGAGGCTTGCTGGTATCCAAAGTTCTTCTTTTACGTCCAACGGTGACACAACAACTCCTGGACCATCTAGATGCGAGATAACCACCTCATCACCGGCATGAAGCTTACCCCAATCTGCTACAAGTCTTACGCGTGATCCTGGCGTAACCTGAGTGAGGTGTTTTATTTATTAAAAAAAAAAAAAGATAAAATAAAAAACTGAAGAGAAGAAAGAACAAAAGAAAACATGCCACAATGCTTCATGCTCACCGCAAATTATATCTTGACCACCACCATCATATATTATCATTATCACCAAAAATTAGTTATACTTGTACCCGTTTTTTAAATAAATCTTTATTTTTATTTAATTTTATGCAACTATAATCCACTTTAAACACTATTTTTTTTTTTTTTTTTTTTTTTTTTTTTTACTATACACATGTAGTCTCTTTGTACTTTTTAAGGGGTTTTTAAAATTTTTTATTTTCTATTGTTATTATTATTATTATTTTATAAGTGATGTTCAGTGTTTTTTTTACTTTTTAGTAACAGAAGTATATCATTGCAATGACAAAAGGTAATGCAGTAGAGAGCAGATAGCAACAGACATCAAGAGGAAGAAGCAGAAGAATCCCTAGGCTGTAAGAAATATTATTAGTATTTTTATTAATGAGATAAAAATAATGAGTTTTCCTTAAATAAATTCCACCATTAGAAAGAACGTGCACCATTATTTAAATATCGAAGCTCACCGGAATGGAATTTGTGCGAACTGGTGAACGTGCCCGAGTAATAGTATTCCTAAATCCCTCGAGGAAATTCAATTTACTTTTGGTTGGTGATGGAGTTCGTGGTGAATTTTCAAGACCACCTGTGTGTGATCGATGAATACCTTGGGATTTTCTATGGTCACTACTTCGCTCTTTATTGCTTGCACCAGGTACTGTCAACATTGGTGGTACTGATACTGCGGCACGAGTTACTGGTTCCGGGGTCATCGAACGGCTGTATTTCAATTAACAATTCAGCTATTATCTTCAAATTATTTTGTTATTCTAACAGTAATTAAATATACCTAATAATAATAATAATAGATAAATAAGACTGTATAGTACCAAATCTAATCTACATGATTTACACATATTATTATTACAATTATACAATGGAATATTATGTAAGATACCTGGTAGTCCATCGATAAGAAAATCTGATAATTGACGAGGTTGTGACAAAAGGTAGGTATTAATTAGTGAATTATTGATACTATTATATTATTATAATCTTAACATTAATAAAGCGAGCAGTTAGTTTAGTGCTGAGAGTAAAATTATTAATTTTAAAAGGAAAGTAAAAGGATACACGATGCACATTAAAATTTCATAATATATTAATTATTTTTCAATTTATCATTTATTCTAAATAAAGTTTGTTACGTTCATGAGTTGATTATAATTTGATTTTTTTTCCGTCATTCAATTAAGTAATATTTACATACACCTTCGATTCTCATTTTAAAAACCTTAAGTGTTATAAACGTTTTAAAAATTACTATAAATATATCATACAATTTTTCATTGTTATACTATAATAGATAGCATCACGCTCACGCCAAAAAAAAAAAAACAAGCGCCTTTAATTTCACAATTATGGATATTACTTAAATACATTGCACATTGGAACGGTTTAGTAATTAGTAGGCTCTGGGAGCAAATCGGTGTGATAAAGTGAGTTAGTTACATAGAGAGCGTGTTAATAAATAAATAACAACAATAAATTAAAATATATTAATAAAAGGTGATTAAATACAAGTTAAATTAGAGTTTTACAGAACCAGGAAAAAATTTCTACCCATTGTTAAACTACTTTGTCGCTTATATCCTTATATAAAATATACAAAAATATGTGGGAACAAATATTCACAGGTCAAAGTGTGACAAATATTAGGTGTATTCATAAATATGTTAATTTTTTTTTTTTGGTTTTTACGTTTTTAAGTGGTAATAATAACGCTTACAGTGGATCTTTGGTAAGTTCCTTTTGATAGGCAATTGGCGATTGAATCGCCTTAAGAAAGTCACGCTGGGTTTGGAGAATTGATGTGATTTTATCTACCCACTCCTGTTTCCGAGGCCCATTATCATCTGGTACACTACATACAAAACCAAGTCCGGGTTTTCTCGGATCCGTTGAACAAATCGTGAATTTTTCGGGGTCCTCTGGTGGGTTTTCTAGACTCAATTTATTTACCTATTTAAAAAGTTATTTTCTTAATTTATTACAGACAATTTAAACAGTATCATTAAAACAAATGTCAACGTTAAATTAACTAACCTGAATGTGAGCTTTGTATACATAGGCAGGGTTTGTGAACTGAGTTTTTTTGCCAAGCGCTTCACTAAAAATAATATTTTGCTCAAATAGAAAAACTTGCCATTCACGACCTCGTGCTGGCAAACTTGATAACTCCGCAACTAATAAAGGCCCATGCAATAAAAGCTTGCCTTGTGCTGTTATTTTCCCCTAATAATATAAAGATAAAATTAATGTAGCTTAATTTTAGAAAATCGTCATTAACCTACCATCATAACTATTAATATAAAAATTTATAATCTTACATCAAAACCTTGTAATCTCCCAACATCCATCATGTCATTAGCGGCTTTAGGAATGATTTGCATTACGTGCATTGCTGCACGAAGTCCTTCAATCTCTGATATTCTTTGAGTTTTTTCAGTCAACCGTAACGCTTCTTTAAGTAACAACTGATACTTAGTAATTCTTTGAACGGGTTTTATAAGTAAATCACAAAGTTGTAAACGATGTCCAAGCTTTTGTCTCAATTCCTAATTATTAATAATAAAATACATGTCAAACATTGGATATAATTGAACTTAGTTGGAAAAATTTATTATTAATATTAATAATAAATCAGATTGATTTAACCAATTTGAATAATTCAATATATTTACTTCGAAATATGTATCTATGTGCTCAGAAACAATGTACTCCGAGACCGGTTTGTTTTGACAATAGACAACATACATATGTAACTTCCTTTCATATTTCTTGAACAATGGACCGAGCTCTTCAGGTTGCTTTAAACAACTTTCAAGTGCTTTAAGAAAGAAGCTAGAAGAAAGAAATCAAAAGAAGAAAATATTAAATTCTGCACATTTCAAACGTAAAATAGTTATATTCATTTTTGTTATGTAAATAAAATTAATAAAATGCAATTATCTTTAATAATTTTCACCTTTTTTTTTTTTTTAAATATATAATCAGTATAAGTTATGATAATTTTTTGGACAAATAATAAATTTAACAAATATTAATCCCTGTTTCTTTTTAATAAAGGTTTGAAATATGCTTTTTTTTTTTTATTCTCTAAACAATTCTATACTAAAAAGATATTATTTAAATACTTACTCTCTGTGCCATTCATATATTGCTTCAATATTCCCAAATATCATCTTATCTTTACCCCCTCGAAGATCCTCAGGTAAAGGTATTTCGCTGTCGGGATCTCTCATAGGAAGCATATAACCCTCAACAATATGTTTAAGATCATTAACATAAACTTGTTCTGTCTCAACCAATTCACTGATAACATATTGTCGTTTTGTAAGTGCTGCAGCTTCGGGATCAGTTTCTTCAGAAATAGTCGATCCACTTAAGCTAGCGTAATTATCATCAGTGGACGGTGGACGTCCTGGTGTTCTCATCAAACTATTTCGTTCTTGATTTTCTGTATGTTGTTCCTACAAATAACACAAAATTAATACATTTTTTCATTATTTGAATCAATTAATCCAATTACGTGTTAATTGTATTTGTAATAAATATTGGTTGATATAAACAATAAAAAATTAAAATACCATTCTTTCTTTGACAATTTGCTCGATCTCTGCCAAGTCAGCAGTTGTAGCGCCATCCAAACTTTTTATTGATCGCTCGGTAGTCTATAACACAAATATAATAAAATTAATTAAAAAATTTCATGAAATATAATAATGAACAAATCAATAAAAATACTAACCCTCTTTCCAGGAAGTTCTTCAGGAACAGTAGAACCTGGCGGACCATTACCGGCAGCTACTAGTATTGGTTCAGTAATGGGTTTCATAGGAGGCGGTAGTTCAAAATCATCTTCAGCATCTTCTCCACCATTTTGCTCCAAGAACGGTGGCGTTTCACTGTCATCACATTCAACTTCTTCTTCTTCTTCTTCACCTTCAGAAACTGTACGACCAGATTTATCACCGGTTGGCAACTTGAATCTTTTATCAGAACCGGTCTTTTTAAGCGCTGATGGTCGATCTGCTGATTTTTCAACTTTACCCTGACTGAGTTTACGGAATTGTTGTGGTAACCATTTTCTTCTAAAATAAATATTTTTAAAATTAATATGTCAAATAACAAATTTTCTAAGCTTGTATTTTTAACAAAAGCAATTATGTTTCTATACAAAATACTTATAAGATCTAAAATTTATTCGCATTATAATATTAAAATACTTGAGATATTTATATCACTAGTTGACGTTTTATTAATTTAACTTACCCACTAAAACCACGCCTCCTGTTTCCTGGTGAGCTTGTACTAGCTGAGCCATTCCCGTCACTCCCACCGGTGTCTAAAACAATGTCGAAATGTGTTATATATTACTAAAAATTTATGTAAATGTATCTAAGTTTATCTTTTGGATGTGTGAAGAAATAAACAAGGCCAAAATTATGTTTTATTTTTTAAGCTTTTTTCCCCTTTTAATTTAGAGACCCATTATTATTATTATTATTATTATTATTATTATTATTATTATTATTATTATTATTATTGATTTTTTCTTTTATTTTCTATATAACATACTTGGATTTAAACGAGAATTCCATTTTTTATGTCGTAAAATTCCCATAATACAATGTTACTTTGACGTAAGGGTAATCATGATTCAATCAAGAAAGTTATAGTACACTTGGTATGGTTCAATTTTTAAAAACACTGACGAATATACATAAATAAAAACAAATATTATTATTTTAACAAATCACAGTAATAATTAATAAAACTGAATTTAATAAAATTAAAGTTTAAAACATTTTAATAGTTTAGTCTAGACCAAGTATTTATTTTCTTCGAAAGAATTATTATTATAAATATTAATGACCGCGAATTAAACTGTTTTATTAAAACTTTTAAAAACGTAGATTAAATTATTTATTTATACATAATAAAAACTTGTTAATATTAAAAAACAAAAGAATAAGATTAAAAATGTAAATAATAAACCGATGATCTCAACGTTTCTTTGACCAACTGAGAGATCTCGATCTTGACCGCAACGCATCAAGTTCGTTTTCATTTAAACCGGCGTAATCGCTGCGGAAATAGTTAGTCAAGTCTCGATTTCTCTTCTGGTTCGATTCCAACTAAGTTAACTGTATCATAATATGCAAGTAAGCTAACCAAAGGCCGTCTAAGTGACTCTCGAGGATGCTTCTGACGTCAGACACTCTTTTCATAATATTTTTAGATACGATAGGTCGATTCGTCAACAATTACACTTTTTTTATTTTTCATTTTACTTCTTCTTTTATTGAATAAGTTTCGGGAGTAACTAAAATTTATTTAAAGGTTACTTAAAAAAATTTTATCAATTCAGGATTAATTTTTTATTTTAAAATTTATATTTATACTATAAATATTGTGTATATTGAACTACGGTTGAGAAGATTCATTGAATCCAGAATAGTTTTGCACTGAAAGAGTATCGGTTGTTTACTAAATAAAATATATAGGGAAAGCGAAAAAATATTAATAAAATAGTGATGATATCAATAGTACCAGGTAACGAAGGTACGCTGTTAATAGTATAAAAACGTTTGTTATTTAAAGTTTGTTATTTTAATTTTAAACTTTTTCTAATTTTTTTTACTGAATGTTATAATAATAAATTGTAAATCTCATTCATAAAAAAAGATCTTAAATGTACGCATAAACAAAAAAATAAAAAGATTATTATATGTCATAAAGAAATCATTTGAAAGTTTCAAATGTATATACCGAGGATGAAATGTCTGCGTACTTGGCTATAAGCCAGAATATACACTCTTCTCTGTACCTAGTTAATTCTGTAATATTAATATTATTGTTTCTTGCACTATTTACTACTTTAATACATATGGTGTATAATACAGTCATATTAAAAAATATTTCAATAAAGCTAAAGAAAAAAAGATAATATTTTAAAGTTAAGTAACGTAATAAAATAAAAACTACATAATGACAAATTATGATTAAGTATTTGTATATTACGTAATTTATTCATAGTGAGCATAGCAATCTAAAGAAGTAAAAAAGTTTGGATATAATTCGTTCTGATGGAAAACAAGTCTAAAAGTGATAATTTTAAGAACTTTATTTTCAATAAATGACAATTTTTTATAAGATGCGGAGCCTGCTAAAATAGACGCAGAGAATCTCTTATAAAAAATATTGTCAAATCAGGGTTATTTGATGAGTTTCTTTGCAAATACATATCAAAATAAAAGCCATGGGTGTACTTTATTCTCACAAAATGCTATACGTGGGAGAAGCCTATTTTGAATCATCTTCACTAGGATTGTACTGGATTAATACACTATAAATAGTACATTGATATCAAAGGAGTATTGTAATAAATCTTACATTGTTCTGAATTGTTTAATTTTAATTACAACAAAACAATGTAAGTACAAAAATACAAAATCTTTTTTTTTTTTGCATTAGAAAATTTTTCATTTAACGTTATACCCTGGAGGAATTAATTATTACATGTCAATAAAATACCAATTTTTTAAATTTATTATTATGTCACTTTTTATTAAAAATATTAGCAACCTTGGAAAATATGATTTTTGAATTTTTTATTTTTTTCAGAGCACTGAAATGAATATAATAAAATGAATATCTAGATATAATAGAATAATAGTTAGTTTTACGATTCTGGAATACTGCCAGATTAGCTGAACATTCATGTTCCAATATTGGAATTGAAAATAAAAGCGATTGAATGAATGCCCTATAAATTATTTAAAATCTTTAAAAGTAAAAAAAAAAAAATTTGTAGGCATTTGAATTTAATTAAAATTTGTTGTTATTTAATTGAAATCAAATATAAATAAAAAAAGCCACTCGGTTGCCGAAATTGAGCTAGATTGTTTATAAATAATTACATTTATTATTTTTATAAATTTAATCAGTGTTATTGAACAGATATTTAATTTTGTTCAAATATATTATGATAAAACAACAATGAAACTTTGAAATTTTCTGTTATTTGGGTTTTTCGGATTTTTTACATTTAAAAAATTCTGAAATGAAAAAAAAAATTCAGATGGACTTAAGATAGGTTAGCTTTATTTATATTTATAAATTCGTAGGAAATAAAAAAAAATTCTGTTGAGTATTAATTTATAATAAAAATTTAAAATAAAAAATATTGAAAATTGGTCCATCGAATTAAATATATTTTGTTTTAAAAAATAAACAAAACCAAATGAAAATGAAGTTTAAAAACATATAAATAAAATAAAAGTGATGTAAAGAATTAGTGGAATAAATTTACTATTAATTAACTACAAATTATAAAAAGTTTAAAATATTTTCAGTGTAACACTAATACTTTGTAAAAAATTTTAAAAACTCGTATTAAAGTTCATTGAGCTCATAAATATTAATATCATATTGTTTGTTTTCACAATAATTAAAATTAAACATATCACTGTAGATAAATTTTCGACAAACAAAAATTGTTAAAAAAAAAAAAAAAATTCAATTCAATTCTATGAACGAATTGATTGATCTTGAAAGAAAGCAAGTATAGTTTAAATCGATTGATTCAATTGAAAGATATCCTATTGAAAATCGTAGTTTTTCTAATAACTTCTAAAAATATTTTCGAAAAACTTCTTATTGAAATTTACACATTTCTTTTTCAAAAAAGAATTTTAAAAAGCCGAACTTAACTTTTTCATATAGATTTTAAAAATTATTCATTTTATCGAGCGGAAAGTTGAAAATCAAATACTTTTTTTTTTTTTATTAATAATAAAGGAAGTGGTTAAATTATTATTGTGTATAAGGAAACATATATCTTTTCTGATTTCAAAGCTCGTTTTATTTCTAACAATGAATAATTATATACTTAGGGGTCAACGGTAGATAATTTTCAATTAAATTCAATGCATTGATAAAATGAATGTTTAAACTAATTGTTATTTGGAAGAAAAATTGTATTCTATCATTTACTGCATCAATGCAATAAAAAGGTTCCGCTTATTTGTTTTAACACATGAAATAAAATCGGCATCTCTATTTTTTGAATAAAAATTAAAAATATAAAAATTGTAACCAAGAGTAAATATAATTAATTATAATTTTCAATAGTTAAAAAAAAATTTGTTTTTCCAGTTTTTTGTGATTTTATTGGAAATGATAAAAGTTTAGATTCACAATAAATTTTCAGAAAATAATTTCCATAAAAAATAATCAATAAAATAATAAATTCTTAGGACGATTTACAAGTCCAACTGAACTACGAGCAATAACTCAACATTCCAATACTTAAAAGTCTCTGAATTCCCCAAATGGAATTCAATAAGTATTGAATGACGATGTCTTGCCTGTCAATTAAAGAAGCTATAATATTTGTTTGGTATATTTAAAAAAATATAAAAACAATTAAAATCAAATTGATGTCTAACCTTTATGACAGATTTTTAATAACGGAAGTGACTGTGTCCTAATAATAGACACGAGTCTTAGTTCAGTAATATTGTTCATTCGTGACCACAATTAACAATGTTTTATAACGCGAGAGTCTACACAACTGAACTGTCGTGTGAGTAAGAAGTCCTTTTAATTTAGTATCAGCCGAACAGTTTATTCCCACCAGAATATTTACTATACAATGCTAAATATTCATTAGTATAAATATATAACAATAAATAAGTGATTAAATAAATGAATTTAATATAACTTGAATTCATATATAAAAAAAAAGCTTATTTCATTTTAACGTGTATTCTAATTATTTATAGCATTAAATTCTTTATAAGATGGAAAATCTCGCTACTAGAGATTAACCTTTAATATTTATTTTAAATTCTAATTAACTAATCGATGAAAATAAATAATACTATAATGGAAAATTGAAATGAAAAGTGTTTTTTCTATAATTAAATGAGCGATGTCGCGACATAGTCTTGCACATTCACGCGTGCTGAAAATTGTGATAGGTCGGGCAGTAAAAAGCACCACCCTCTATTCGGAGTCTGCGAACCGGTCAAGGACACGCGCTGGTGCGTATTGATCGAGTGCGAGTCATAGTACTTATACGTATTTACTAAGAAACGCTAGAGAACGTATAGATACAAGGAGTCTTCTTTATTATTTTTCATCTCATCTCCATCGTAGACAATTTACTTTTCTCATAATAGTTCGTTCATGACTTTTTTCTTTAATCATCTCTATTGATACTTTACTTTTTACAGATAGAATTCATTAAAATTTATTTTATCCATTTTTTTAGAGTAAAATTTTGCGTCTTTTGGAATTGTGACCATACTATTAGCCATAAAATCAACATAAAATTTTTTTTTGAATATTTATTTACTTTTTTTTATAAAAGTTTATCAAAAATAGAATAACTTAAGAATTTAATTATTGTTAAAAGGTTATTATTTTGACTTGAAAATCAATTTTTATAAAAATTTTAAAAGTCAAAATTGTTTCATTTGTTTGTTTTTAAATTTTAAAAACAAAAAATAAGTATTCCTAAGATCCTGCTACTTATTTGAATAAATTTTATTGCCAATTTTTGATAGATATTTAATTTGCTTCAACATTAAATTATTAGTCAAAAAATCGGTTAATTAGTTTAGAAATCTCAATCGTGATAAATTTTCAAAATTGACTAATTTCCCAAAAAAAATGGACATAAAAACTAAAGATATTATTTTATCATAAATAGTATCGAAATTAAATTTCCGATACCGGGCAATATAATGCATATCTAATAATGATAATTCTTTGATTCATTTTATTGAAAACGACTTAAATTTCACTTTCATAAATCTTATATTCTCCCCTCAAAGCAGTCTACTCACATTCACGGTGCACCGACTAATTTTACATGCTTTCAATTCTAAGTATTTTCTTTCCACCTATTGTTACCTTGACCTTAGATTTCTGTATTCATAAAACTTTTCTTTTCACACCTTTCTCATTACTTTCGTACTTAAGTCTTTATTCCTATTAAAGTTTGTTTTAACATATTATTTGATTCGATATTTCAAAATTATCTTTTCTTCTAAAATTGAAAAGAAGTTTAGGAAAACCAAAGCGTGCGCTTCAAAGTTTTATCTATTAAAAAAGAATAAAAATATGTTGCAGACGGAAAAAATTTTGTTGTCACAACATAAGACAAGAATACGTTGCAAATTAACTTTAATTTTTTTTTTTTTTGCGTTAACAAACATAATTTTATAATCATTCAAGTTTTTTGTTGACATCTTTTTGTCCCAAAGATTTTTAAATCGAATAATTCGATACTTGAAAAATAATTTAAATAAGCATTTTTTAAAAATTGTGCCTAAACACACTCAAGAATTATCTTTCTTAAACAGGAGTATTTTAATTATTATGAAAAATTGAAACATGTAATATTACTTATACTCTAACGTAGAATTATTATTCTCATGAATCTGATTATAATAAAATGAAAAATAAAAAAAAACTTAATTACTAAAGTATTATAACGACCTTTCTTTTTCATTTTGTGAGAGTAAAGCACATCTTTATTAAGGCGGGCTATAATAACTCATAAAAAAATTATCAAATACCTAGAAACACTATTTAAAATATAATTTATTTTTATAGATAATAAGATAGGATATAAATAATTAAGAAAAAATAATGAAAATCGATACTTACCATCATCCAGAGTGACAGACTGTTGAGCAATCGTAACATTAGTTTGAGAAGGTGTTTTTCTGGACGGTGAAGTTTTACATGATGTTGTCGGGGGTTGTTTAAGAGCACTAGTAGGTACTAAACCTTCAGCTGCTGGTTCGGTTTGACCTGCTATTAAAGGTAGTCGTACTAAAGTCCATTCGCTGGTATTGCTACTACTTCCAGAATGCACACTTCCGTTCTCCAACACTTCTACTTGTTGACCTTTTGTCACACTCAGCTCTCTAGAACCTGGTGTAGCTGCATGATCAGCTACTACCCAAGTCATTTCAGTTACTCCTGTCTTTAAAAAAAAAAATGTATGTTGGTTTAAAATTAGAGTTAATAATAATAATAATAATAATAATAATAAAATTTTTTGCTCGACGGGCAGAAAGCGTCAACTTTCGGCCCGCTGCGCTAAACGAAGTTGCCCCTTTCTGCCTTCGTCGAGCAAAAAAAAATAGTATACACTCCACGGGAAGTAAATAAGAAAGCCTCAGACCACATGTTTGTTGACCTCGGCTTCGCCTCGGCCAACAATTACATGTGATCTGAGACATTTCTTACTTTACTTCCCTAGGTGTGTAATATACTATTAAGTGAAATTAATATTATAACAGCGAGTCCCTAAATTAACAATAATTGGGGAAAAATTGGTAGTATAGATACCAAAAGATTCTTAGGAAAGTCAAGAGACTTGTTGGAATAATCGATAAGATTGTATATCGATAAAATCAATAAATTGTATACACGAGCTTTGAATTTGCGCACCGTCGGAGCGGTTAATAAATTATTAATGCTCCGATAAATTTTATTTACTTAAAAAGATTTACAAATGCGTTTTTTTTAACAATTCGAATTTAAAAAATATCAAATATTAATTTAGAATAAATGAATGAAAATGTGTAATTTATTCGCAATGTAGAATATAATAAATAATAATTTGTTTATTAAATGAAAATGAAGAGAACGCAGATCTCTCCTAGATAAATCTTTTAACGTTATGGGCTGAATTGGACTAGCTCGATTGTGTATGACCATGGATTAATCCGCAGTGAAGCGAAATCAAAGCAACGAGGATATAAAGCCTCTTCACGACCTTCAGATATACTTTATACAACGAGAACAGAACGGCCTTTATTTGTGATCTGGATCATCGACATTTGTCCACTGGCTAATTTTGTTATTATTGAGAAAAAAAATCTTTTTTTTTTTTCGAATATAATTAATAACGTGACTCTAAGTCATTGATTATAATAATCAATACTTAAAAATGTCTTTCAAATTTTTATCGTGCGCAGATAAAATATTTTTTCAATTCAGTATGAAATGATTGAAATAAATCTAATTAAATTCACAATAGATTTATATGTATATTGAGTAATTAAACCTTTTATAGAAAAAAGTAGATTAAACTTTTACGAGTTACTTTATGTTTTTTAATATAAAGTTAGACAAAAGACGCGTTGGAACTTGTTTAACACAGTGAGTTATTATTTTCCAATAAGTTCATCCGTCGATAAATTTTATTCAAGGAAAATATAACATGTTAATAAATGATCAATCAGTTGCAAATTAATAATTTTAAAATTAGATGAACGATGGCATTTATTGAAATTTAAAGGATAGAGGTAAATTTATAAGCGATAAAGTTTAGAATAAATTAAATTAAAATTTTATAAAGATGTACAATGGTTTTCTTTCAAGATGATGTTGAAAACATCGTGTAAATATGACGCTTAAAAAGGTATACTTATAAAAAAAATTCGTAAGTATACTTCATTGCAATTAGCAGATTGAAACTGATTTGTAGCTTTTTTGGGAACGAAATTGTTTTTTTTTTTTTTTTTTACTGCTACAATATACGATTTTATTTTTTCAGCTTTGTAAGAGTTGATAACTGAATTTATATATGAGTTATTGATTTTGAAGAGTCTCGGTTCAACAAACACAAGGCATTAAAATTCAACATTCCATTTTATAGAGTTAAATTACATTTTTAGACTTAATGTGATGTTAGCTCTTGTCATGCTTGGATTAATCATCTTTCGGTTGAAATAGTATTGTTTTATTTTTTGATTCACAATACATGATTTATTTTGTTAATGGTGAGAATTATTATATGATTATTCTTGTAGAATTAAAACGTATCTTCGTTAAATATAATTGAATAAAATAACTAAAATAACTAAAATCAATTAAAACTAGCTAAAATCTCAATTGGTCACCTAAAATAAATTGAGTAAACAAACGAGAAAGGTTATTCAATTAGAAAAATTTATTTTAAGATTGTTCTTTATTAAATGTGAACGTTCAGTTTTATTCAATTCAAACTTCTTAAAAATTTGGATTAAATTAATCATCGACTGCAAAATTCAAACAATTTGATTTTTCAAAAAATAGTAGAATATTGCAAGTTCCATTTGAATTTTTTTTTTTTTTCGAATATGTTTTTTATTGAAAATTTTAATTGATTTGAGAATTGTCTTAGTCATTTGTTTCTATAGTCAATTTCAATAAGTAAGTATGTACATTATTTAAATTAGCTGCATGTTTCGACAAATATAGGTCAATAATAAAATAAAAAATTTTTTTTTATTTCCTCCAACATTTTATAACTATAAATCAAAATTTTGTTTAAGTAATCTGATTGTTATCACAACATTGACAGAAACAGATGAAAATATTCTTGAGCTTCCTCAGAAATTTTTTAAGCGATTAGATTTAAAAAAACAGCCGGGTTTTTAGGGCTAGTCGAAAAGGTCAACTGTTTATTAGATTCTTTCTAAAAAAATCTAAAAGGTTTTCCTGAAAAAAATTAAGGGATAAAAAACAGTGCAATTCAATTCAATTGTTTTTGTTAACTATTTGAACATCAGCGTGCTTTTAGATGAATGATTACATTACCTAAACATGTAATGACTATTTATAAATTGTGTTGCAAGTCCCATCGAAATTTGTTCACTAGATTCCGAAATATTCTTTTTATTGAAAACGCATGCAAAAGTGACTCCGTTCTAACACTCAAGATACTGAGAAGTCTTTTAAAAATTTTAATTAATCTAAAAAATTTGGAACCCTATTAAAGAGTAGTGATTATAAGTATTCAAAATCAGTGTATAAATTGTTTCGTTTTTGAAAATTGTATCACTACTCCAATGTTTAGTTATTTGTATAATCAATCTTTTGACACTATTATTCTTCATTTCTCTTAATTGAAAAATTAAATTGTGCTTTTATTTTATGTTTTATTAATATTTTTTATCTAGAGAGTTTGATAACTTTATAATTTACTTCAATTGTTTACGAAGTTGTAATTCAGATTTTATAGATATTCCGTTTAGAGTTTTGCATAATATTTTTAATTTCATTACTTAAGATATTGATAGCGTTTTTATATAAGATCCAGCGATTATTTATACAATTGAATTATATCAATTTGATTAAATTCATTTATCATTATTAACATAAATTGTCTTTTAACAATTAGCGTGAATACAAACAACTTTGTTAGAAATCAACTAATAAAATTAGCTTATACACATAATTGATTTTACCATGGTATTTTCTGAAGAGAAATTCATTTTTATGTATCATGTATCATGTTAAATTGTTAATGATAAATTTTACTTTAGAGTAAACAATAGAATTTATCTTTATTTGATGATATTGTTCAATAAAAATTTACGTCTTCGAAAAGTTATACCGTCAAAATGTGTTATTTATTGTCTGAAGAAACAAAGATTAAATAATTCTTTAATTTGTTCATATAGAATTAATGACCATGTTGGTGATAAAAAAAATAACAAACAATTGATCTCTCACCGTAAATAAAAGATAAAGAAGAAACGGAAACGCCCTTGTTGATTTTGACTGATTGTTAAAAAAAGATACAAAAAAGAGAATTGATTAGTGAAAGATAATAAAAAAAATTATTTTTTCACAAAATATAGTGATAAATTGTAGAAATTCATTCAATAAAAAACACATTTTTAGATCGATTGTAGTATAGTAAAAACAAAATTTGTGTATAAAATATCAAATGAAAATTTTTCTGAATGTTTTACTTGTTATTATTAATTAAATGATCATCAAACATAACATGTTGTACAAAGATGAATTAATCTTTGTTATAATTTTTTTAATCAGTTGTTAATACGAAGGTTAAGTCAAATTCAAAATAGTTAATATCCAATAAGAAAATTTAATTAGTATAATTATTCTTATTAATAATATAGCTTCGATATGGTGCGGAAAATTATTTTTTTGCGCTCCACTGCGCATTCTGGTTGTATAAATATATTCTATGAACAGACAAAACTTTTCATTAAAAAAAAAAAAAAAAAAAAAAAAAATTGAGAAGAGGTCGTTCCCAAAATAGGTGAGTATTAGACAACGTCTATTAAAATATTTAAATATTAACAATTTATTTAAATCATTAATAATTAATTATATTATTAGAACCCACACGCATTGTACCTGAGCCAAGGAAGGATTTCGACGCAACTGTCTAGCCTGGAATGAGCCAGGTGTATCAATAGTATGTTGTCGCGAGAGAGTAGGATGTGGTGGTGTTACAGAACCTTGTCGAAACCATGGAAGAGAGATCTTGCGTCGTGCCTTTTGGACGATCGTCGTCGGTTGCCTAGCTGGTGACGTCATTGCAGATACTGCAGATTCCACAAGAAATATTCTTTCGCACTCTTTTCCTAGCTCTTTGATTAAAAATTTTTTTTTCAATTTGAAGGTGCAACTACAGTTGTTATTATTTATAAACCGTATATTTTTCTTTTTTTTACGCAAGATGACAAAGTCGCAGTCGCGTCGATGCCTTTACCGTGGCGGCGACGGACTTGGCGACCAAGTCGCAGAGGGTCATGATCACGAGATCTCTCCAGCCGGACCAGAGAACTACTGGAACGGCGTTCTCGGAGTCCGGCGGACTCGAGAGTCACGTCCGTACTGATATTAGAGCTGTTCCTGGGATAAACTCCCAACGCAACTACAGCAAGAACCCGGCGAACACCTCTTTACGTACGCTTGAGTGCGCCGGCGAATAGTATCATCATCAGCTCCCACACAATCTAAAAGCTTTTGCGCGCATGTGTAAAACTGATGAGCAGTTTACATCTATGTATTGCTCGAGCAAACTACTTTCAATCGTTTTCCTTCACAAATCTGGTAAGCGACTGCTCCGGATCATTGATCCTAGTAGATTCAATCTATATCCAGGGTGCTGGATCTTTTTATCTTGCTTTGTCTACTCGATGACCAAAGCCTAAATTATATGATCTGGTCATCGTAAATTTGTTTTTAAACCTATTAGTTTTTATTTTTCATTTTGTGAAAATAAATTGTTTTTAATTATTACTTAATTAGTAATATCAAGTATTACTGTGTCTTCAATTAAAATAGTAATTGTTATTATTATTATTATTATTATTATTATTATTATTATAACATAATAATTCAATAGAATAACCGTTATAATGATAAATTATTTTTTTTTATCAAATAAAAATAACTGATTGGGTAGTTAAAAAATAAAAAAGTTTTAAGAACCATTTATTAAATAATTAAATTAAATTAAACTCACTTTTTCAGAATCAGTTGTATTCGTAGATCCAAAAGATGCTAATGAATTTCTATCTAGATTTTCTACACTGTCATCAAGTGATGCACATTCCTCCAAGTCACGACTTGATCGCTGACTCGAACTCTTTTTCGCAGGACTTTTAGGCATACTTAAACTGAAGTAAGTTTCTTGTATCACTTCACGTAAACGTTTAACCCACAATTGTTTAGCCTCCAATGAATTAGCACGTAATACGACTCTTGTATCACTAGTTGGTGCACGACCAGTCCAAACAGCAAATTTACATTCATCACCCTCAATATGCTCAGTTACACCAAGTTCTGAAGTCATTAAGCGACTTTTATAAATATATTTGACCTTAAAAAATATAAATATATTGTAATTATTTAAAAAATAAAAAAATTATTTTGTTTTATTTAAAATAAAAAAGAAATGTTTACCTTTCCTGTAGAATCTTTAACTTCTTTACTGAAAAGAAGGTATAATTCAAAAAGGAAAATATGACGATCTCTGCCTTTTCGTATAAGTTGTTTGGGATCCCAAACAGTAAAAGAATCTTGTAAAACTACATCCCCCAGTGCATCGATTCTAACATCGCAGCCTTCAAGTAAACTTAAATGTAAGGCATCATTTGCTTTTTTAGGCACATTTAACATAACTTCAAGTCCATCTTTTATTTCACCCTGTCCTTCTTGACAACAAGCTTGCAAATCTTTAAGCAGTAACTGATACTTAGTGATTCGCTGTACAGGTTTTATAAGATATGCAGCTATTGGATGTTCAACACGATGTTTTCTTTGTAAATCTTCAAACCAAACCCCTCCGTGAGCCACCAACAATTGATTACTTTCGGGTTTATTTTTACAATATGTAACGTACATATCAAATTTAGCAGCCCAAGTAACAAAACAATGACCAACATCCTCTGGCATTGTTTCATATTTTTCGAGTTCACGTAAAAATATATCACTATGAAACTGATAAATCTCTTCCATATTACTAAATATTATTGATTCACGACTTTGTAATCCTGGTGGGACATTACCACGTCCATTTCGTGTTTCTTCCAAGAAACATCTAATACACGTCTCTAAATCTTTGACGTAAGTCCGTTCAGTTTGCAATAATTCAGCCATAATGAATCTAAAATAAAATAATATTCATTTTTAGTACTCAAATTAATAATATATTTTCATTCTTAACATCAGTGAAAACATACTCTTTTCTTCTAGCAGAACGTCGTTTTTCTTCATTCAATTCTTTTAAATCTTTTCCTTTGATTTTTTCTTCAAGTAATGGATCTGAATTACGATCTATTGATAAATCTTTTTGACCATCATCAGATTGTATTCCTAAGTCATCTTCAATTTGTGTTTTGTAACAATCCATGCGCATACTGAAATCTTTATAACGCTGATCAACTTCAGCAACAGATTGTTTTATGGCTGTGGCGTGAGCGTGACCTTTTTCAACTAAATTGTCGGCCAATTGTATTAATAATTTTACTCGTTCTCTCGTTTCCTATAAGTACGTTAATACCAATATTAAATAACATTATGTACTGTATAATAAATATCTATAGTGTATAAACACAAAATGCTAATAAATACTTAGTAAAATTATTATCATAGTTATTTTCTTAGGACCAGTTTTTCAATCCAGGATAAAAATATAATTGTTATTGCCAGTATATTTATATACATGAAATATATAGATATATTTCATCATTGGATAAAATTTTATTCTAGATTGAAAAACTGGCCCTTAATCTTTTGTTTCAAATTATAATATTTAAAAAATTAGATAAATATGTCGTGATTGAATAAATTATATCTAAATTACTATATTATAAATATTACAAAGTATAAAATGATAACACTTACTTTTGCTGCACCTTTAAATTCGTTATGTTCTTGAAGAAGTTGTTCATTTTCTAGACGATTTTTTCCAACATTTGTGTGTGTAGCTAAGTACAATTCACCAGTTTCACGTATCCATTCTAAGGCTTGTTTAGCACTACGTTCAAATAGAACATATTGATGACAATGATCAAGCCGTTTTTTACGTTGTGTCCAATGTTCTAATACTTTATTTTCTTTGCTCAATAATTCTTCAAGAATATTTTTAACTTTATTTTCAGATCCACCACTGGTAGTTTTATAGCTATAAAATTGTAAGCTTCTATTTGTATACTTCAAAAATGTTTCAGCTGTTCGTCGTACAAGTGTACAAGCTTTAAGAAAAGCTTCTTTTTGTTCTTGATGTTTACCAACAAGCGTTGGTACTTGATTACCTTTTTCTCCACCAAAACACCAATCTTCATCACGACGATACTCACGTTCCAAACTGTCTAATACAGATCTTACTTGTTCAGCTGTCTTATAAAAATTAATGCTAGCAGTCACAAGTTTATGTCGCTCTTCAGCACAAGTGACAAGTTGTTGCCATCGTTTTGTTACGTCTTCAGCAACTTCGCGAATGCTTTTAGGATCATAGTGATTAGCACCAACTAATGCATCTGCTCTGTGTTTAACTTGAACAGCCGAAGTGTGAGTTTTTTCAATAGCTACTTGAAACTGTTCATGTTCTAAGCGTAACTGTTCTGCATCTGATAGATTTTCTGGAACTCTGAGTGATGCCAAGAGCATAGCTTCACCATTTCTGATCCAATTAGCAACATGCTGAGCATCACTTTGAAGCTGTACTAACTGAGCAGCTTGTTCTAATCGTACTCGTCGGATCTCTGCTAAATCTTCAGCATCCATTTCTCGTTCGTTTAAAAATTCTAAAAGAACTTGAACTCGAGCAGTTGCGGTATGTTGACCATCAGCCATAATACAAACTCCAGCTTGATCTAAAACTTGAGCAAGTTCTTGACCCTGTTGTAAAACTTGAAATGCAGTATTTTGCATATGAGCCACTCCATCATTGTGAACACGAAGCAATTGTTCAGGCGAACCTTCTCTCGGTGGTCCTCGAAGCTCCTGAGCCCACATTTCAAGTTGTCCACTTGCTTCAAGCGCATCCCTCTCAAACACGCGCAACCGTAAACAAAGTTCTAATCGTAGTTTACGAGTTGCCCAAAGTTCCTCAAATTCTTGACGTAATAATGCAAGTCGATCAAGAGCTGCTTCTACTGCGCTTACTGATCCAGTTGTATCTGAAGTTTCAGTCGAATCTCGAAGTTCTTGCAAAAGAGCCTCGCCTTGTGCTATTGTTGAAGTACAAGCTTCAAGACAAGATGATCTGTGCTGTGCACATTGATCTAAAAGCCTTTCTGCTGTTTCTAAATTTTCTGCAACTTCATCTTGTTGTAACTCTTGGCGTAATTCATCTACCCAGCCGCTTAACTGAAGCAAGTTAAAAAAAAAAAAATAATAAATAAATAATTATATGAATTAGAATTTTGGCCCATCTTCCCTTTTGATCGAAAGCTATATTCTCTCTTCACAGTAGTTCGATGGGTATCCATCAAACTTAAATACTAGTAAAGCTGGAAGCTTGTAGTATATGTTCGAGGTATGATGTTAATCAAGTGAAAGATAGTGAAAGAAAATTGAA